TCCCTAAAGTACCTTCCCACACTGATTTCCTTTCAAAAAAAAAAAAAAAAACAGAGATTTCTTGTAGAAAAGTTGTCTGCAGAAAAAAAATCGTAATATTTAACTAATTTATTTCGTACATTTTCCCGTTTTTTTCGGTTTAGTACATTTTATAAGATCACAAAGACGGTTTATTTTAATTCAGTTATAGACCATTTTTCCGCGATCAAAGTCAGAAAAATAAATTTTTAAATATTAAAATTAGCCATTTGTTATTTGGAAAATTTAGAATATAGATATTTTAATACATGCATTTAATCCATAAGTATTAATAATTATCTTACAATTTTTAGTATCTAATTATATTTTTGTTTCATTGTACCTTTTCCTGCACCTAGAATACCTAGATATTATACATTTTGATTGTAACAAATATTTAAAATGTATAAATATTGTTCATTTACATAAAGCTTTTTATATTAAAAATAAGAATCAAATACTTTAGATTTGTTAATAAATAATTCACACATGTTATTACCAATAATTATTTTTTCTAAACTTGAAACTTCGAAATATTGACCACAGATTTTATTATCAAATACACCATTAAGAAGTGCTTCTAAAACTATAACTTGTTTAGTATAAAATTAAAAATGTTTAATTTATAAGTTAAAAACGATTATTTTCGAAAATTATTTATTTATCCTGTATATTACGAGTGGTTTTATAAATAGTTAGCAACATATTGTGTAAGGCCGGCCACACACCAAAAGAGCAAAATTGTGTTAGACAGTGTTAGTCAGCCTAAAGGTACGGTTTCCCTTGCGCGATCGCGAACGCGGTCAGCGAACGTGATCGACGAACTAAGATCGCGTTCGCATCGTCTTGGTTTATTCTGAACGATTTTAAGTCGCGATCGAGAGTAATTTATATCTCATCATTCAGTCGTACTTAATATTTTGATGTGTGAAGTACTCTAGTGAACGGTATAAGCGAACATACTGTGAATTTTTAAATTATAATGGATACATCTGACGACGTAAATATATTGAAAATTCTTTTTGAANAAAGGTTATTATGAAATACTAATCAACGATCATTTGAAAAATAATCAAATCAAATTTCGAGAATTTTTAGAATAAATCGTAATCAGTTTGATTTTATTTTAAATTTAATAAGAGACGACCTAGCCTTAAATCCGACTTTTTTTTATAAGGAAACCAATAACTCCATCTTCTACTTTGCTAAATTTGGTCATTGGAGCACTCACTGTTGAAAGACACGAACAACGTCAACCAGCAGTCAATCATAAATGAATGTCAGATACTCTGAAGCAGTCACTTTGCGTTCGCGCCGCGATCGAATTTAGATCGCCGACCGCGATCGCGCAAGGAAAACCAACAGTATTTAATTTACATTGTATCAGTAGTCGCGCGATAATGATGCGCGATCTTAGTTCGGATCGCGCAAGGGAAACCGTACCTTAACACAGTTTTATTAAAATTAGAACTAGGAAATTACATTGCATACGCACACTGATAAGTCATAGTCAAAACAAAACGTTTTCGCTTTAAAACACAATTAGTCATGACTAATACTGTTTGAGTGTCCATATTTTTTCGTTAGTCACAATTAGACAAGAAAGAATATTATTCGTGTGTATTTTGTATTTCGTATATATTTTTTATATACTTGTATATATATTATCACATAATGGCTTGTGATGGGGAAATACAAGTCAGTTTAGTGTAAAAACGACCATCCATTTATGATTTATTAAAATTACATTTTGAGTTATACGTTTTTTATTTAATGGATGAATCCATAATTTTTTTTCATAATTCTGTTCTAAATTTTGTAATGTGTACCACATACAAATCACAACATCCTCATCAGATGACATGATGACAACTGATTTTTGTTTTGTCTAATGGTTTTTTGTCTAGGTAGTGTGCGCTTTATAAAAACAAATTGTTTTTAGTTGACTAACACGAAAATGACCAACATTGTCTAACACAGTTTTGCTCTTTTGGTGTGCGGCCTGCCTAGTGTGCTTGATTTTTCGTAAAAAAAAAAAAAAAAAGAACACTAACTGGTCATTTCCCTGAAATGGGCGTAATTTTCATTTTCCCCGGGTGTTAAAATGTTAAAGATCCAGCCCTGAATATTCCTTTACATACAAAAACAATGTTTAAAAATATGAGCCATTAATATTATGTAACCATAGACTTATAAAGTTTATAGGTCATCTATGAATACACCTAACTAACAAATTTATCTACCTATCTTTTACTTGTGGTAGTATACAATTTAAAATAACAATTCTAATTTAGACGTTCGCATTTCTTATTCTACCTTAATATAATATTATACACAGCATGCACAATTTTCTAACGAAACTCAAAAAAAAAAAAAAATAATATTTCAATAAACTATACAATATAATATTATAGTACCTACACAGTCCGCCATAATATCATGTGAAACTAAGTGAGTTTCTCCAAAGATTTTCATCTCTTCTATTATGACATGTCGAACAAATTGAAATACAGATACCTATTATTTCCCAAATTATATGTACCTACAGATTGTAGGTTCTGTAACATTGAAGGGAGTGATACCAGTTAAATTATAAAATATTCAGGTAAGAGGGTAGATTCTTTTGAATATAATTTACCGTAACTCTGGAGCGTATTGGTTGATTGGATCTTAAGTATTATAAATAAATGGAGATTTATTAGTTATCAGTTTATATTATAATAGAATTACATTTTATACGTTTTACCTTGAGGATGGCTGTTCACTCCGGTTGATAGTCGTCGGCCAACTAACTCCCCGTCTGTAGACAATAATATACCTATTGTTTGGCGCGCGCCGAGAAATGCTTATGCAGCAAAACCGTAAAATATATATTATATAAAATATGTACCTAACATAGTGTATATAATATACTACATATATGTAACCGATGTTTCATTACTCACTTCCTAAAAAACAACCACCCTAAGGATTTTTATAGACAACATAAACAAAAGTAATTTACAAAAATATAAAAATATATACATCACTGCTAGTTGTCATGTGTTATCACCAGTTTGATACTTTCACATTTATACTTTTTTTTTAAATATTGTCCTCCATAATAAACGGTTAATAAACAAAAGTTATTTTAAGACAACACAACAACAAATAACTTGTTAAAAAACACCTTATAATGTTCAATATTTATCATAATTATTATAAGTACCCAATTACATACATTTACATTTCTTTTTTTTGTTTATTAAAAAAAAAAACCATGTAAAACAAATCTTATTTTTACATATTATATAGAGAACAACACTTTGTTGTAAAACGGCCAACCACAAGTTTCTCCCTTAGTCGACTGCGTTTCACCACGATGTATTTAATATTTGTCATCCCATTATAGTCGTCCGTTGTTTGTTACAATATCAATGAGAACCGCCTTTGGTTGTCATCCTTATCGGTATTCATTTTATTCTCAGCAACTATTTCCATAACAAATCTGTGTATATTTGTTGGGGAATTAATTTTTTTTTTGTAATATCAATAATTTTAAAATTCTCCAGTTAAATATATAACATTTTTTTTTAAAATTTTTTTTACATGTACTTTTTAATATCTCTTTTACCACGATTACAATTTTAAAATTCCATATATATAATTTTTTTAATTTACAAATATAATGTATACATTTTTTTCTAAATTAATTTTTGTTTACATATTTTTTTTTAAAACAAATTTTTTTACATATACTTTTTAATATTTCTTTTTCCATGATTACAATTTTAAAATTCCATAATTTTTTTTAAATTTACAAACATTTTTTGCAAAATAAATTTATTTACATATTTTTTTTTATTTTTCTTGTCTATAATCCAGCATGACGTAATTATCTTATATCATATAGGCTATAACCTTTCTACAAATTATAATATTAGTGATTACAACAGTTATTTAGCATCTGATTTAGTGATTTGGACAATATATTTAGTACAATATTTGCATTAATACTACATTTGATGTACTGATCTCCTATGACCCTGCCAACTCTGACTATTGTTTATGTTTGAATTTATACTCTATTTGAATCGTAGTGTTTTCTATTTTTTTAAAATACTTTTCTTCTAATAATTTTGGGATACATTATACATATATATTCAACAATTGTCACTTAACTTCTATTTAAATTACTTGCTATATTTTATTTGCTGATCTTATCAGCAAATATAATTCATATATTTTCAATACGACTTAAAAAAAAAAAAAACATAAATATAACTCATACAATGCAAGTTCACAATAAAAGTCCATAGAATAACTCCTACACCTATCGCTACAAATTCAAAATTATCAAAAAAATCAAATAACTTACATATCTTCGATTCGAGTTCATAAAAAAATTCACCAAATTCACCGAACGTAAATTGCTAGTAGAAAAGTTGTCCACAGAAAAAAAAGACTGTAATATTTTACTAATATATTACTTAAATTTTCCCGTTTTTTTCCAGTTTTTCCTACTTTATTAATATCTAATATTATACATCATGCATAATGTAATATTTTCCATATAATGTATATATGATGTGTATGAAAAGAAAATTATAACTCATATTAATTTGCCAATTATTTTTGTTTTTTTTTTTTTAAATTTTCAATGAAAAACTAATTCTAAGTCTAAACTCGGAATCTGAGGTGTCCAGACCACCTGGACCCCCCTTCCTGTAAAACCACCACTAGAACAAACAACAATGAACAATGTTCTCGCTTTTGAGTGCCGTACATTCGCGTTTTTTTTTCTCAGTAATTCAATAACATCAAAATGCTTACCACGCACACTGTATCATATTAAGTAGGCCATACGTCTGTGCAATGGCGTACCGTTGGTTCCCACTGTCACGTTAGGTGCATTACAATGGACACGCCACGCATGCCGACCTACGCAGAAATGCAAAAAATGTTGGCCAAATTAAAAAACGCCAATGAACTACTTCACCACGATGTGCCAGAACTATAGACAAGTCAAAAATTACTACAAAAAAGTCTATGTACCACCAATCCGCAAGGAAGATGGATCATGGGTATGCTGCGAACAAAATAAAGCTTATATGTACGCACGTCACTTAGAACGTCTACTCCAGCCGAACGACATCGTTTCCGAACTCGACATAACTCATCGTCAACCATTAAATGAAATACCCAAAAAGATAAAACACTTCACTTTGATTAAAATTTCAAAAGAAATTGATATGAATATCAATCCAAAAAAGGTATCTGGTTACGACCACATCAACACAAAAATCCTGAAAGAGCTATCTAAGAAAGCTATGATTTAATAAACACATATATACAATGCCATCCTACTTATGGAATATATCCTCAAACAATGGAAACGAGCTCGAGTGATCATGCTGCTTAAATCAGGAAAACCATCAGAACAATTAACTTCATATAGACCAATTTTGCTTCTTCCGAGCATCTCAAAATTATTCGAAAAACTACTTTTAAAACGTTTAAAACCCGTTGATAGAAAAAAGAAAGCTCATACCGGACACCAATTTGGATTTCGAAGTAAACTCTTAATCATCTGCCAGGTCCATCGGGTTACGAACATAATAAGCAGAGCGCTTGGAGAGAAGAAGTATTGCTGCGGAGTATTCTTTTATATGACACAAGCTTTCGATAAGGTTTGGCACAGAAGATTACTTAAAACTACGTGAACAGCTGCCGCACACATGGTGTGAAATGTTCGAATTCTACCCGACTGAACGTCAATTCAGAGTCATGCACGAAGATACGACCACTGATTGGAAAAGAATATCTGCCGGTATACCACAGAGAAGTGTCCTTGGACCAATCTCATACTTACTCTATATAACTGACATTCCATCCAACAACTATTCAATGACAGCCATGTTTGCCTTTGACACGGCAATAATGACAACTGATGAAGATCATCAAACTGCGACTGGTTGGCTTCAATCAACCTCATTTCAAACTGGACAGTGAGAAATTGGTGCACGTTAACTAGACCCTACATAAAACCGTTTATAAATTAGTATTGTTGGATCAGAAGATCAACCCATAGAGCCACTGTGCAAAATATTTAGGTATGCACCTTAATTCTCGACTCAACTAGTAACTACATATTCGCTAGAAAAATTGCAACAACATATTGGCTGGTCGGAAGATATTCTAAACTAGACCTTACAAGTAAACTTTATTGGCCATAATGATAATTAAACCAATATGGACTTATGGAATACAATTTTGGGATTGTGCCAGCAAGTCCAACATTGAGATTATTCAACGATGTCAGAACATCGACAGAAACAACATTATCGAGGTATGATGATCATCTAGATCCAGAACGAAATTATTAAGTTTACCCGAAAACATGAGATAACGCTGGATCAACACGCCAATCCAGTAGCAATTCAGTTACTCAACGACTCTCAAGACATAAGGTGTCTCAAACGCCGTAGACCATATGACTTAGTATAAGATTCTTAGACTAAGGCTGGGGCCACTCTACTGGGAGTGAGACTTCTCTTATGTTTTTTTTTTTTTTGTGTATAAATATTACCACAAGTATTCATGTACACCTTTGAAATGTATTGTTAAAAATATCCGATTGTTATAATAAAACATTTCGGGCAGTTTAATTAAAAAAAACAACTCTTATATTTTTCGATAAGTTTTAAACAAAAATCACAGTTATAACTCACATATCTTCAATACGAGTTCACAATAAAAATCCACCAAATAACGCATATACCTTTCATATATTCCTTTAACAAGAATATCGCTTAAACTGGAGTAATAAAAAGACCATGAACTAATTGGTTTCAGTTCGATACTCCAGAGTTGATTGGACTACTTATTTATACTTTATCCTCAAAGACCATGAATTAACCGGTATCAAATCGCACTCAGAATAAAAAAGAGAAAGTATTGTACTACTCAAAAACAGAACAGGAATATACGTTAAAAGACCTTTTATCAAAAACAAACACAAATAATCCGCGAGCTTTTTTAGTCAGCGTACACATACATACTAACCAAAGACTGCCGCACTCCTCTTTCGCCTCGTTCCGGTAGCCTTAAATGTAATTTGCATCTTACTGCCTCAGTATATTTGCTTCACTGGCCTACTTAATAATATTGGTGACTAGGAAAATAATAATATTGGAAATTTCTATGCAATGTTTATATATTTGTGTTGGCATATACAACATACCTTTCGATATGAGTTCAAAAAATCATCAAATAACTCTTATACTTTTCGCTATAGGTTAAACAAAAATTAAATCCGTGTACCTCCAATATGAAAATACATATTTTTCAACAATTGTTAATTACATTCCCTATGAGATCCATACTTCTCCGAAACCGGCCGTATGCCTATAATGTTTTTGCCAACGTCACATTGATCAACATACTCTCGTGGTCTATTAACAATAATATAATTCTCATCAGCATGTTTATTAGTAGTTTCATTTACCGTTTTTTTTTATCATTATTCAAATTTGTTTGAGGTAAGCAAAAATTATCAGCACGTGACATTTTCTCGCAGTTGTTATTTTTTTTGTTTTGATATGGTATTGTTATTACTTCCCACTTCTGTTCTAGCTAGTATTTCATAATTTCCCGTCTTGTCATTAAGTAGGTTATTTTTGATTTTTTTATTTTTCGTTAAAATAGTGTCTACTCAGTTTATTGCTTTTGATAGATACATTTTTTTATTTAACTGTAGAACCGTGAAATATGAACTGAATCAGAGGCAAAATTAGATACCATTTTTCTATCGAAACCACTATATATTTTTGGCAAAGTTAATGTATTTATTTTATCAATCTTTATGCGCGAATTTCCTTGACTATTATGCATTCATGCTTTTTATTGCCCCAATTTTCAAATCTCCCACTATTTTTAAGCTCCACATCTAGACTAATGTCAGTTTTTAATTGTAAAATTTCTTTTAAATGAACACTATTATAATTAATTACTGTTATACTCGCTCCCGTGTAAATCAAAAAATTAATTTCCTGATTATTTATTCGACTGGATATTTTGATTTTATAGCAATTATTGTATTTTTTATCATACTCTGTACAAATATAATGGTAATATCATAATTCTGTCTTATTATATACATTACAATAGCTATTACCTCAAACCAAATGAAACTTCCATGAAACTTTTTATGTCTATTTTCCCCCAAAATATTCCGGATAATATTTTTGCACTACTACAAGTACTTAATTATATTTCCTGAGTCATCTCCTATTTCACCATTTAGTTTAAGCTTTTTATTTCCGTTATTTTACTACAACCTTCTAAATCACCTTTGGTGAGACTGATGAGAGTGTTTTATCGATCTCTTCTAATAGTTATTTTAGTTCTACTATTTCCAGCGGTTTATTTTTATCTTCTCGAGTATCTTTATTCTCTTACACTTTGTCTTTAATAAAAGTGTTATTTAACAGATTTGCTAGCCAATTAAATTAATTTAATAATCACCTTTCTTCAGTAAGAAGAATTTTATTGCGATTAATATAAAAACTAAATCAATCCCAAGTATTTATTATCTCAGTTATTTAAGAGCTTCAGTCCCTCCACCAATATGTAACTTGATGGGGGGTAACCCGTTAAATATAAAATATTCAGGGAACAGGGTAGATTATTTTGAATATAATTTATCGTAACTCTGAAGCGTAATGGTTGATTGGATCCTAAAAGTATAAATAAATGGAGATTGGTTTAGTTATCAGCTTATATTATATTAGAATTACAATTTATAAGTTTTACCTTTAGGATAGGTGTTCATTCCTGTTGATAGTCGTCGGCCAAATAACTTCCCGTCTGTAGACAATACAATATTGTCGATCAGTTTGGCCCGTGCCGAAAAATGCTAATGTAGCAGAAACGTATAATACATTATATACAATGTTTAACATGGTTAACAATATACTACATATATGTAATGACTAATGGATATTATCAAGAGCGCCCGCAAAAATATAAACCGGGGGGGGGAGCAAAGTCAAAAGTAGAATACTTTTTTTGACAACTTACAACTTACAAATAACCATGGCTTAAATATTTATGCCATGCAAGTTATAAAACAATTAATATTTAATATTAACTAAAATGTGGGGGGAGGGGGCATGACCTCCACCGGTAACCCACTGCGGGCGTCCTTAGATGTTACAGTTCAAAAGGGAAATACGCAGTATAGATTTTTCTCTTTTTTTAAGATAGCACAATATTATATCTTGCAAGTAATTTTCAGTAACGGGTAGGGGAGAGGGCAATTTAGCCTCCCTTGTTTAATATAGAGGCAAAACTATCATCCCCTCATAAAATGTAAATAGAACTAGGTACCTATCTATATGAATCAAAATTAAAATTAAATTTTCATTAATATTATTCGAGGCCTTGAATGCAGTAATGGACTAGGCCCAAATTTATTATATTGAAATATATGCAAAAATAAAGTGTTATTTTTATGAATATTTTTTTTAAATATATTAGTTTTTATTTTTAGCATATTAGTTTTAATTAGAAGAGTACTTATGATTGCTGGATTAATTATTTTATAAATCACCTCCACTCTTGACTTAATGTGGATTAGTCCATTTATTCATAAACTTTTTATCGTGTACTTGAAACACATCATAAAAATGTTGTATAATTTTAAATGATAAAAGAAAAAGCATGCATATTGAAAATGTTTTCAAACTTATTAGATATTATTTTAATCGAAAGAAACAAAATTTTAGTATAAGACATTAATAATATAATTGTTTCAACTTGCATAAATAAGACAAAATAAAAGTCTAATACAGATTGACTTTGTAATTAAATATAACATAAAATTTAAATACTTAGTAACAACAAAAACTTTTTTCATTCATCATCACTAGACGCTTGATAATTTATTAACATCAAGAACATTGATCTTAATGGTCAATTTGTGGAATATAATCAAGTAAACATAATAGATCTTTTTTTTTCAGTGAATTTATACAGTTGCCATTAGGGTACAGTAAATCTAAATTTTCAATCGGTGTGGTATCCATTCCTTTCTGCTAAATTAAGTTTACTAAAAAGAGCGATTTCATCAGTTGAATATTTTAAAAGAAAATTTGAACTATTGAATTTTCAACCACTCTACTTTAAAATTATCAACATCGATTTTTCTATGTGTGATATTATTTTCCAAGTTTTTTGTTGAGAAGAAATCACTCTTATCCATACAAATAATTTTAAAAGGTTTTCTTTTGAGTGCCACCGAAATAACCTTTTTCCAATGTTCTCAGATAAAAATGTTTAGAGTCACATGGCAAGTATGAATGTCCACTAACCAAAAATGTATGATATATTTTCTCAATTGTGTATTCAGGACTAGAAACAATATACTGACACAAAAAGGATAGCTTAATATTTCGATTTCGACCACCACACTAGTTGGACTACGTAATTAAATATTCTGTTTTAACAATTTGTTTAAAAAACTATAAAATACAAGATCCGATTTCCTGGGGACCCTAAGAGGCAACCGACTCATTTTAAAGAACTATGTAAATGTTATCATTACCCATGTTGTGGATTCCTAAACAATATGTCCATAACTATCGTTTATAGTAATAAATACCTGCTGATAGTTAAGGAGTAGGTAAGGTTTTCATTAAATCAAACCTTATGACTGTAACATCGTCAGGGTTGTTTTTAGTCAATTTAGTGTCGTTTTGAAGTCCAGTACATGCACTACTTGCCTTTCTTTGATGTAATTCTAATTCTTGTTTAAGATTATTTGTATGGGCTTCAGATTCTGCAGCTTCAATTTTAATAGTGTATGCTTCATATTTTCTGCAAGAGTGTGATACAAGTGGACGAAAAGATAAATTAAATTCTTTGTTAAACATTTTTCTAAAAATAAAATTTGACACAGGATTTGAAATTTGTTCAGTGTAGAGTACATATAATATGATGATGTTTAAATCGGGAGCCATGAATTTATGATGAGCCGATTTGTAAAGGGAATAGTGACTTTCATATGCTGGAAATTTCTCAATAAAATATTTTACTTCAGCAATTTTTTCCGGGGACGACTTATTTGCTAACGGATCTTTTCCCCTGAAGTCACTCTGAGGAGTACTTTGTCAAAACTGATGAATGAGGATGTAAAGATGAACTGAACCTCTTTATTACTTGAGTCCATTCTTGCTCTTAAAATTATTTATCACATTAAAATGCAATAACGGTGTAGGTGTGGCACTTGTGAACATTAAGTAAAGGTGGCTTAGATCAATTTTACATTAAATTGTTTGCTTTATGGTTGATATTAATGGCATTAACTCTATATGAACATTATTTGGGTTAGTCCATTATTTCACTGAAGGTCTCATTTATTAATCTCTTCTTGAATACAAATATTTATTTTATTAATTAATAACATACCTACCCATTGATTTTATAATATAGGTACTTATATATTATAGTACCACATATATTATAAAATCAATGACATAACTAATGTAGTATAATATTATGGTTTTAAATAAACCCAATCATCCAAAACTAATATTCAAAATGTATACCCTAAGGGGATTGGAAGTGGTTTCCCAAATTGTCTCTGATTGAGTAGACTTTCCCTCTAATCTACAGATTAATACCTACCCATTCAAAATGAAGGTTTATGGCCATTTTCGAGGGCGAATAAGGTTTAAACCAATATGTGTTGGACAATTTTAAATTAAATATACTTACTCTTTCCAATTTGTATAGAAACCCATATAGATACCTAACTATGGATTTGTTGACAAATTGTCTAAGTTATTATGGAAACCAATTTTTCGATATAAAATTTAGTGTATTTAAAATAAATACAAATTTTAATTGAATTGCTCAAAATATTCAAAAATAATATCTTAATTTAGGAGATCTTTAAAACTGAAAATTTAAAATAAACTTCCTAAATAACCTATACAATTTTTCAACAAATTCATAGGTATATCCCAATGGATATTAGGAAGAATGTATAAAATATAATAAATGTGTTCTGACCTCTTGTTCTTAAATCAAGTAAAAATGTAAGTATGGATATTAAAACTGTACTTATATTAAGTGATTTGTAGACTCTACTTAGGTCAACAAATTAATTTCATCTTAAAAATAATTTATTTTTTCTTGCATACGACATACCTAGTTTTGACTAATAAAGTAGCTATTATTTATATGGGATTGTAAATGCCAAAATTATGAATATTATTAAAAATAAATTTCCCAATACCATTGGTAGAAGTTATCATTCAATCAATTCATATCAGTATTTTAAATGAATCAGTGATCTTCTGTACTCAAAAATGTAAAAATCATATTTATATTGCTAGTGTTATTATTAGGGTCTGGAAATTAATGACCCAAAATTCATTAAAAATGGACCAAAAATATATTTTAAAGTGAGATAAATTTAATTTTTATAATTAATCCTATCTTGCTAAAAAAAATATTCTTGATTTTTTTTTTTGTTTCTTATTTTTTTTTTCTAATTAAAATAAATAGAAGTTAAATTATGTAGGCAAATATATTTAAAGTACACATCATATTTGCAAATAAAAAATATTGATGATTGTCAGATAAAAAAGTTTTAAGTACAAAAACACTACCTTAGACTTCCACTGATATAATTGACACATTTAAAATAAGTAATGTAGTGCATATTTTTGAAATTTCTTATTCTTCAAATATTAAAATAAATAAATATTTTAAATAAATAAATACAAAAGCAACAATTTCCACACTTGATTTCATCAATCCCATTCTGTCTCACTTTATTAGAATGCTTACATTTTTCCTGTCATCTCACAATTTTAAAATTATTAAAGATTTTTTTTAAACAACTCACTTTTTCAAATCAGCCCCAAGTTATTAGGCACCTTTTTATTTATTAATTTTTATCGGGTAAGTAAAGGAAAATATTTCACACCGAATAATCTTTAATATTCATCAAATTGCTAACAAAGTGAATCAAGTTAAATCATACTTATCCTTTCATAATATATGATGTATAATGTAAATAGTGTATATTTTTCATAAGAAAATATATCTTCAGATATATTTAAAATAATACATTAGTCTTACTCTTATCATCAGTGAACCACTTTAAATTGTTTTTTTTTTTTTTTACTAAATATATTATAATTATTGTGACTAAAAATGTAATTTGTATCTATAGAAGAAATGTAATGGTTCAATAAAATAAAAACATTTTATGGAAAGGAGTGGTATGGTTTATTGGATTTACAACAGTTATTTAAAATGATAATTACTCAGTAACAATAAATCAAGATTTACATTATTCAATGATTTTAAATTGTAAAACAGTAAAAGGTACAAAATAGTTGGTCAATAATAGGAAAGGATTTCAAATAATACTTTAATAAATAAAAACATGTTGTACAACCATAATATTATATGTCTTATACGAATGTTATTATTAATATACTGCTGTAAAAAGAAAGTCCTTTTGTATTATTTAATTTGATAGTTAGAAAAAAAAGAGAATATTATTATTAGTTTTACTGAGAAAAACTATTTAATACAATTATTAGAAAATGAAGAAAAAAATTGGATGAAAAAAAAATAACAATGTTGTTTTGTAAAAACTGCCAACAGAAATAATTTATGATTGGTTGATGAATGGGGTGAAAGGGTAGAAGTCAGTTGTTTAAAAATATTTCAATATTTCTGCTGTGTTGAATTTGAATTCTGGCCAGGGGCTTGTTTTCTTGATTTTGCTTTTATTTTCAGTAGCCTTAACAGTGGGTACAGTATCCTTTTGCGCACCTGGCATTTTGGAGACTTCCAAACATTGAGGGAACATAGCAAAGAATTCTTTAAGTTTGGCTTCCTAATTTTAATAAATTCAAATAGGTTATTTTTAATGTAAAAATTCAATATAAGTACACACTAACCGAAATAGCATTTGGTTCAACTGATGATGATTGCAGGGCAGGTTGCTGTGATGGGGAGGTACTATGATGGGATGTTGTGACTGAAGTCTTTGGTGAACTGTAACGTTCAGGAAACATAGCAAAAAATTCTTGCGTCTGATACGTCTACAGACAATATAAGTACTTAATAAATTGCTATTTGTAAAATAATTGATTTTAAAACTACTTACTAAAGTAATTGAGTTATCTTTCTTTTGTTCTGGTGTAAAAATAATAGCAGGATCAATTAAATCTATAGATTTGGGTGAAGGGTTCACAGGCATTGATTTATGACTTTTGGGCAGTGATTTAAGGTTTTCAGAATTCTGTATGAGATTTTTGGATGAAGATAATTTTGAATTTACAGTGGACAACAATTTAGAATTCTTAGAAGACAGTCTAGAATTCTTTGAAAGCTGTCTAGTAGACTTGCCATTTTGTTTTCCTTTTATCTTTCTTTTAGACACCCAGCCTTTTAATTGTCTATTGAGAGAAAAAATATTAATAGTAATTAGTCAGAATTTGTATGTTATATTGATTAAGTAATTCACTATTAAAATCACAAGTATATAAAACAACTAGTAAACAATTTTGGTATTATTGTTGTCAACAAAATGGCCACCATCCTTATTTCAAAGATGAATGTTTATGTTTTATAGTATCAATAAAGAATGATGTCATAATATTTAAATATTACATACATTGTACACTGTACAGTAAAGTTCTAAATAGTATTTTATATGATCACTTATCATATCAGTTTGTATCATAATTTGTAAACATTCACTTCTTAAATAATGATTGGTGGCCATTTTGTTGGAGACATAATTTTATATGTATAAACTATACTTTCTTTCTTAATTACTTTTTTTTTGATTTGTGAATTATTGTAATTTATTATACATATGTTATAGCTATACATTTTCATTGTATAAAACTGTAATTGGAATTTTATTTCCGCTAATAATTATTATTATCATAGCAGTCAGCCATCTAGTTGTTATATATCTGTGATTAAAATAAACTAATATTTTCAGAAGTATACATATATACACACATATATATATATAATTTTTACCTGATGAAAGGCAACACCATATAAAAGGAATGTTTCTGATTTTGACTCTTAGCAGCAATATGATCTTTTCTATTAGACGGCAGTTTATCTAATGCAAACCACTCAATTGATCTTATCTCATTTCTAGTTTGGGGAGAAAATTTTGTTTCCATACTAATTCCTGGTACAATGTACAGTCTGTTGATCTGATCATTTAACACTGTTTCAATGTAATCATCTTTATTAATGATGCTACTTATATCAAAGCCAATTTCTTCATAAACCTATTCAGTTGTACAAATAACAATATAAGTTAAATAATAAAATATATAATCTATAAATCTATAGATTAACTAAATATAAAATTTTTATAATATGCAAAAGTATTTTTTACTTCTCTAACTGCACAATGCAATGGATCCTCATCTTGATTGACTTTTCCTTTTGGGAATCCCCAAGATGTTTTGGTCCAATAACTTTGGACCAATAAAACTTGTGTCATATCTTTATTCAATAAAATAGCACCATATGTTGGTACTGATCTTTTATAATCACGCCATTCTTTAAGCACATCCAAAACCTGTGATTCTCGACTTCTCAAAAATGGTATGTGCTGCAAACAAACATTGATAAGTTTTATTTTAGACTCACTTGTTGATAATTAAATATTAACTAGATTACTCTTCAAAATTACTTTTTAACCATTATTACAATATACATTTATATGTTTAAATAACAATTGTATGTATTTGGTACTAACTACAAACCAAATACATTTGATTATTATTTGTTTTCATAAATAAGATAGCTTAGCTCAAGCCAATATTTCATTTTTTCAATTATCATTCAAAAAATAGTAATAAGTTTTCATACAGTTGATTCATTCATTATATAAATGTATTACTTTATAAGGTTTCCAGATTTATTTTTCTTAAAGTTATTAAATTGGTATAACCAAGTACTGTTTGTTTTATTAATATAGGTATTCAGACATTTATTAAGTTATTATAGTTAAAAATTTGTTGCGTACCTAATTTAACTTTTTTATTACTTATTATCATATTTTATTGAATAAGTTCATTAGATTAAATATTATAGTAGCGATAGTCTGTCCGTCCCATGAGAGAAAAAGCTGTTTATGTACATACATACTGAGCTCTGATCAATTTACAGTTTACCAAACCGTTGTTTTCTCCTCCATATGACCAGACATGACATGGCATGGGGATGCATGGTTGTGACAGATTTTGGTTGACATGCTACCATTCTCCCATGGATAGATTATAGTTAATCATTTAATAAATATCATAAAATAATTTAATGTGAAATTTGATGTATTAATACATTCAAACAGTTGCTTAATACTCAACATATTATCTTCAAATCTCATACATCTAATTTTGTATGATTGGGTATATCAGTTATATTGTTTTTGTTACAGATTTAATATTAGCAGTTGTTATTGCCTATTCTCTGATTAGTTGAATTATTGATAAATTATTTAACAGTACAGTAAATTTGAGTTATTTTAATTTTAAAATGCTTGAAATCCCAGTTTAGTTAAACTATTTTTAAGTCAAAAATAGTCCTTAATATCTATCAATTTATTTTATTACCTATTTCTTGATAAAATATTGATATTTTGGCTGGTAAATTTCAAATATTATAATTCTAATTTTATCTGGGATACTTTTTCTGCAATTTAATTAAAATTTAAAATAACAATTGTGGAGTTAAGTTGTCCCTAGGCAATATGAGATACAATGTAGGTTTATAGATTATTCTATTGCTAAATCTGCTGTGTAAAAATATAAATTTTTACATGAAAAGAATTTCAAATGAAGATAAACATAAGACAATAGCATTTTATGAATGTGTTATTTAACTAAATAAATTCAGCTTGCTATTCAGTAAGTTATTCAAATGGAAATTATACACCTACTTAAATTTGTTCTGTATTATACTAAAGATGCTGCAAATAAATCTATTTGTTGTAATCAATGTGTAGACTGACCCCACTTTATTTATGTTAGCATAATCCCTAATTTAAAATCCAAACAGTGTATTTACATTTTTACTATTGTATTAATTTATTAACTAGCTATTATTTTTTATTTATTACATTGATTTCTTAATATTTTTTAAATTAATGGCAAATTCTTTAACCATTAAACAATGTGAGAAATTATATTATTCTGAAATCAGTAATAAAATATAATAAATTCCATCCTATTGATATTAGGACCAATCGGAGGGCAGGTTGTGAAAATAAATAGTTTAATGCCAGACATACAAATAATCACTATATTTAATATTTTACTGGAGAATTAAAAAGTACATTTTAATATAAATATAATAGGTATCTATATATGTTTGTACTAGTAAGTTTATTTTTATTTTATTTAATTTTAATTAATGACTTTATAAAAAAAGATAAAACAAATTTACTAGTACATACATACATACATAGACAAGTTAAATATTATTAGATATGTACATTCATTAAAAAAGTATATAATATATAGGTATTATTTAATTTTGTATAATTCACAAAATTTATAAATAATTTTAATTTAGTGTATTAAAAAAAAAAAAAGGTATACAGTATCATTGAAGTTGGTAAAAACATGTTTTCTTTTCAATAACTATTTTCATAAAACGAACTGTGGGGCAATGAATAATACGTCTCATGTAGAATCTATAGTATCGTGTTCAATACCTATCTGTACCTAAATGTCCAAATACACGTTTGCACATTTTTTTTGTTAGATTAAACTCCATTTTGGTATATATATGCTGTTAACATTTAAATTTCTCAAATTAATTTTTTGTTTTTTAAAGTTTATTTTTAGGTTATCTACTTGATGTGATTTTGCACAAAAAACCAAGGTATATTTTATTAGTTTGAGTAAGCAAAGTAATTAAATGACTGTTGGGTCTCTAGATACATCTAAAATACATTTGTTTTTTTCTTTATGATGTGACAAACTTTGATTTGTAGGTATTAGACTCTACATCTCAGTTCCTATGCATATTGCATTATCCATTGCACCATAGTCAAATGCAGAGTAGTTGTGTGAAAATACCTATTTAAGAAACACCGTAAAACCAACACACTTCAAATTGCTAAATCTTTTGAACCAAACAATTTTTTACAACACCTTTAAAAAAAATCATATTAAAACACTCCTTTTCAAGAAAAAAAAATGGAAATAAAGAGGTGCTTAGTAAAGGAGATTTCATGTCAAAAAAAAAATACATAATTTACATGAATAATACTCAACAGTTAATATTCAACATAATATTATATGCTTTTATAGGATAAAAATCGCTTTGAACTATAGAGAAAAATAGTTAAAATGGTTTTTTTTTAAATCTGCTAGAATAATGTAAAAGTAAATTAGAATACTTAACAATAAATTATTTAATAATTTATTAAAAACCCTATTCATTTGTATTTGTATTTATTGTAATAGGTACCTAATGTTCATAAAAACAAATTTATTTTGAATTATAAACATAAAATTCTTTTAAATAAAATAACAATCAAATTATTATTATTATTACATAAGAATATGATAATTAAGAAAAAATAATAATTACCCTAAACATACGCAAAGCAAATTGGTTAATTCCATATGGTTTTAAATTATGTTCATCACAATAAAAATCGATGTAAAACCAATGGGCCAGTTCTATTTGAAAACATATCCGAATCAAATTTTGTCGTTCTTCTTCAGGAACATTTATAATAAATCGACTAAAAATTAAAGAACATAGGTATTAGTGTGGTGTTAATTCAAATTAAAAAAAAACTGTTGGTATAATAATAATTATAAATACAAACCAGCTAAGATCATCAAGAATTTCCTTAGTTAGTTTGTTCTGTTTCTGAAGTTCGCCTTTTTTATTTGTCACAGGTTTCATCTCAATTATCATTTTTCGTAAATAGATAGGTAGATGGATGGATTAGTGTATAGATATATTTTAATAACGAAAAATAAATATACACCCACTAATTGAGTAGGTAATGAACACACGTTTATATTATGTATTCACAACAATGTAATGTTAACCTATTGGTTAAGATTTTAAAAAAATAAAGGAAAATACCCACTTATTTTTTAAAAAAGTTTAATAAAATATGTCATAACATTAATATCACACTGGTAGGTAAATATTTTAATACAATTTAAATTATAAATAATTACATGACTAAATGCTTAGCTAATACTGTGTCGAGTAACTATTCACTAAGTCCCCGTGTGTATATGATGTCCATTCGATTTCGTACGTTTTAAACACAAACTAATCGACGCGGCCATTTAAGAAAGAAAAAAAAATCCACTAGGAAGAAAACATAAAAATCGCTCTTCCACTTGTTATTGTTGTAACTTGTATGTAACCAACAGTCGAGAAGCTAACGTTGCGACGCAATTTCTTTATTTTGACGTCACAGATAAATAATAATCATCAATATAAATAAAGGAGAAAGTCAACAGCTGATTGGTTGTTTATTTTCTTCCATGGTTTATTCTGTACAGAGTCACACTGTCCTGTTCCGCAATATTCAGCAGTATATTTGTTACACTGCTGCAGTCTACAGCCTACCAATATCTTGGTCCGTAAATTATAGATAAAAGATAACATGCTCGTGTTTGGCATTATCCTTTTTACAATAATTTGTAATCCACAAACGTGGTTCTCTTTTCTCGTTTCTTTTTCACCGACCTAAACGTCGGCAATAAATCATAATGCGTATAGACACTTGCTATTTTTGTTCTTCAAAAATATATCCAGGGCATGGAATGCATTTTGTAAGAAATGATTGTAAGGTAAGCCTATAACAAATATAATATATACCTACTACTTATCTACACTAATATTCTTTATTTTTCATATTATATTTTAGGTATTTAAATTTTGTCGCTCAAAATGTCATAGAGCATTCCAAAAGAAAAAGAATCCAAGACGTGTGAGATGGACCAAAGCATACCGTAAGGCTGTTGGTAAAGAATTAGCTGTTGATCCATCATTTGAAATTGAAAAGAGACGTAATATTCCTATGAAATATGATAGAGAATTTTGGCAAATGTCAAGTAAGTAAATTAATAATTGAATTCATTTTGTATTGTATTTTTTTTATATAATAGAAAACTGATGAGATTAATATTTAATCATAAATGTGTTGTTTACTTACTTATGTGATCAGTGGAAGCAATCAGAAAAGTCACAGAAATTCAAAAGAAACGCCAATCTACATATGTAATGCAAAGATTGCGAAAGGGGCGAGAAGTTGAACAGCACAGAGATATACGAGAAGTTCAAAGAGATATGGCATTGATTAGATCTCCTGCTGCAGGTAAAATCATTTTAATGACTGATCATTATATTTACAACCTAGGTACTTTTTTTTAACAATTTTTAAGATAACTAATTGTTATAGTTAATTATACATTTTAAAATACGATTAAATATTACAATTTCAAGACCCTGATTATATTACTTTAATTTGTATCTATAAAATTAAAGTAGGTACCTATAATAAATTATAATTTGAACGCTTTTTTCAAAACAATTATATATGAAATACAGACTTTTATCATATCATTAGAATCTTTGGATATTTTCTGTTTACAATAAATATAATACATTTTGTATTTTAATAATAAGAATAAATCCAACTATTATATAAATAGCTTAGCAGAAATAAAAATGAATGGTAATGTGGTCCTTTTTGCTTATGAAACTGCTTTATTAATACATATAGATGTAGATATATCAAAAAGCTAATTATGATTTCTTCAAAAATTAAAAATTGGCTAATAGAAAATAAATTATGGTTAAATTTCATAAAAGAAGTAGTCAAAAACAATAGATTAATAATTCATAATTACTGTTTTAAAAATATTAGTATTTGTAGTTTTTATTTTCTAGAAATAGTAAATTCTTATAAATATTTAGATTGTATAATATTGATCGAGAACTTGGAATATATTCTAAATTACACTCAATTTTACCTACAAAAAAGGACTTAAATCTCTTGTTTAATTTTCAATTATTTCTGTTTGGTCTAACAATTTTATCCACAGAGTACTATGAATAAAAATTACTAAAAGGTTTTGAAAATTTGACCACTTGTAGAAAAAGAAATTATAGGTTTTCTGTCAAAATTTCAAGTTTCTACGAATATTTTTTATTAAAACAACAAAAAACAAAATTGAAAGTATCACATTTCATACATTTTCTTGTTTTTCCTACATGTTTTCTCGATTATAATAATTTTTATTATGAAAACTACTTAAAAAATCAAAAAATGACCCGGTAAAAATATTGTTTACAGAAAGATAAAAAACATTATAAATGCAATACATTCCTTGCTCTGCTCAAAATCTAAAATGTATATAATGTTTTAATTTGTATTATCATTATTACATTTATAATACATTGTAGACAATAAAATTATGAGATTTGCGTTTCTAAGTTATATTATGCCTCATTAATTTTTGTATATTCTATATTATAAATACATGTTCCATTATTGCCTAAATATATGCTATTTATTTTCATGAATTATAAATTCTATTTTATTGTCATTTACTGATCAAAAGATGAATTTTATTTGCAAATCAAATTTTATTATAAATACATAATAACTGGGTATTTAGTACACTGGATGTGCTACTAAATGTGAAAACTAATGTATGGTTGTCTGTTTTAGGACTCAAACAACGTTTGGCGACTGAAGAAAAACTACTCGAAGAAGAACAGGAAAATGATGTGGAGATGGTAACTGCAACAGAAGAAGAAAATAATATAGACCATAGCAAATTATCTTACATAAAAATATAATGCGTTTATAACTGTTCCATGATATTTTAAAATAAATCTTTATATGAATGTAATATTAAATATTCATGAGTAATTATTGACATAAGTTATCTACCCAACCTTATTTACTATATTATGTTGAAACAGTAAGATAAGATAGGTAAACAAATACGAGTGCGCCCAATTTCCATAATAATAATTACACATTGTTAATTTTGTTATATGGTAGTTGGCTTAGTTGTTTTAAATTGTGTTTTCCGAAGAAACTAAAACAATATTCAAAATGCGTTTTTCTACATTCTTATTGTTTTTGGTTATTGGTAAGTTAAATATGGTAAAATTTGATTTTATAGTTTCTATGAATGTTTGTTATTGAATAATATTATGCAATGTTTATTATTTAACATTTCAAGTAATCATATCATTTCTTAATGAAACCGAAGCAAGAAGAAAAATTCTGAGAGGTAGAAAAACAATTACCAGAACATATTATAGTAAGTAACAAAACAAATATATAATATTATTTAAGGTAAAAACACTAAACATGTTGATATAAATTTACATTAAGGTAATATGATCATAAAGTATAAATATATAGTTAAATCTATTAAACTGTTTCATAATTCCAAATATAAAAATGTTTACCCTTTCAGGTTAATTATATTATTTAATTTATATCTTTTTACATATAATAAATTTAAATACGTAAAAATGAAAATCAATGTTCTAGTAAGTAGTAAATAGTTCTTAGACCAGTCAACCACCAGTCTTCGATTAAAAGCGTAACATTACATATTGCAAAAAATTATATTTTCAATATATTGTTTAAATGTTAAACCATTTGACAAAAGTAAAATATATTTATTAATACCTAACATTAATCTTACTATCGCAATAATATTTATTTCGGACAGTATGATTAGTATTTCATTGTTTTTCGATTGCAATATTGCGTGCAATTTTTTGGTTTATAAAATAGTTTTGTTTAATAGAGATTTTATTAATTGTACTTCTAAACAAATTATTTTATTTAATTTTTTCAAAAGAAAAAAAATGAAATTTCATTTGTAACAAACTCGAAACATTAATTGTGCTTAAGATCAGAACTTTTGTTGGTTATCGTTAGATATTGGTCTACAATTTAAATTTAAATCAATGTCTCTAAGAAAATTTTGGATTGAACTCAAGGACGAGTATTTTGTTTTATTTGAAACCACCATAGAAAATTGTTCTTCCTTTTTTTAATTTATATTTGTGTGAAGCTGGATTTTCCTTAATGACCCACATAGAAACTAAAGCTAAGAATAAGCTTGCTGTCACAAATAGTCTATGCTTAGCTCTGAATACTTCAGTGAAATCAAGAATAGATAAAATTGAAACAAAAATTCATTAATTTTTACTTGAATAATTATACTTATTTTGTATGGTAACATTGGTAAATCAGTAATGTTTTATTTTATTTATATATATATTTTTTTTCACATTTCATTAATTTGATATATAAATCTGTAATCAGAAAACTAAGAAAAAAAGTAAGTTTTTGATTTTTTGAGTTAAAACCCTAAATGATCTGTAGTCCTTCTTAATAAGTCATCTGCCGATCCGCGACAGCAAAAAGGTTAAGAACCACTGCTTTAGATTAAAACCTTGAATAAAATGTTTTACAGATAGTCAAACCTTAGTATCTAAAAATCGAATAACACACATAATTTCTATGTAAAAGAACTATCTTAAATTATGTATGATTATTTAATATTTACAATGTACTCATAATTTACAAGAAATATTTAATATGAATTAAATAATTCTAAACATTTATTTTTCAGAAACATTGGGAATACCAGCATGGTTGTCAATCACATTCACTGGATTAATTATACTAGGCATTTCAGGAATAATCTTTGCAGTGTTGCAAAAGTTCATTATAATCAATAATCAACCTCCACAATCATCTTCCTCCTCAATACCACTTACATCTTAGAGTCATTGATATTTGAATAAATGATGAGATGTTTTACGGAACAGAAGTTTCTTTAAAATAATTTATTGTAAAACATTTACAACATATATACAAACTGTTTTATAGTCATCGAATAATTCTAAAAAAATGTCTGTCAACGTTTGCATTCAACATTTGACACGCTTATAAGAACAAGGGTCCATTCTATTTTTTTTTTTTTAATTCCTAAGCCTAAACTAATATTATAGATTAAATCAACCAATGTAATTATTAAAAATAGGCAAAATTAAAGTTTTCACTGAAAAAAAAATGCATCAAGAAAAATATCAGGCTCTTGTTCTAATAAGCGTCTCATTTAAATTAATTACAAGTATTATATTATTCAAAACAAAATGTAAAACGTTACTTTTTATTTACAGATTAACTGAAAATAGTTGACCATTGTATTCTTTTATTTTCATAATAACATTAGTACACATGTTTTTTTTTTTACTGTATTTTTATTACAATATTATCAAACTAACGACAATCTACAATTATAACTTATTCATGGTTTAATCAATTCTCCATAAAGAAATTGTAATGAATTTCCAAGTCCCACTAAAGTGCCAATAGTAATAAAACCAACAATAAGGCGATCAGTCATTCCACGTTTCAAGTAAACTGGTACATCATCAGGTGTTTGGAATGCTTTTTGCCATTTCTTTAATTCTTTTAATCGAGCATCCTCATTGAGTGGCCGACTCCGATGGATATTACGGGACAAAGGTTTTGTTGCTGTCAATATTTTCTGTAGAGACATATTGAATGCCTGTAAAAGTATTAAAATGAAAAGAATTAGAAAACCATGTAAATAAATAAATGTGTTAATATTTTCCATCAATATTATCTCTACAGTATTAAAAGACAATTTGAATGTATTATAGATAGTAGAGAAATAGATATAATTAGACAAGAAAATGACAACATCAATGTGGAATTTTTTTTATAAATGTTAACATTTTTCAAAGTTCTAGAGGTTATATTTTTATCAATTATGAATGCACAAAACAAGGTATTATAAATAAATAATATTGTATGTTTTATTTTTCACCTTCATCCCAATTATTTAGGATTGGCCAACCTCGTTCTTAACTTCCACTTAACTCGACCTTCCACCTCACATATACTGACTGTCCTACAGTGTCCTCATATTATTAATCATGTCAAATCACCTCTTTTTCAGTCTTCCTCCTACATTTATTTTCATTATAATTTGTAATGCTTACGATTCCTTTTTACACATGACACGCTTAAAAGATCTCAGGTTATTTTCACCAATTTTGTCTACTATTAAAGCCACAAATTAACTACTTCTTGTGTTCTCATTCCTTATCCTATCTTCTCTAGTCACCCACTTATCCACCTATGCGTTCTTATTTGTACTACGCAATCAATGTTCTATTTTTTGACTTTGGTCAAACATTTCAAACCATAAAATGTAACCGGTCTCACCGCACTCTTGTAGAATTTATAATTAAGCCTTAATGGAATCCTCTTATCACATAAAACACTAACATAGCTCACTTGGATTTTTCACCAATAGAAACTTGAGATCCAGTAGCATCATAAGAACATATGCTCCCCTGAGGTTAATTAATATTGTAGGTATCTTATAAAATAATTTTTTCTTAAAAATTTAAATTCTACAATTAACAAACTAATTATAAATTGCACCAAAAATTGTATAGTCAAATGTAGTCACCTCTACTGTTGGGATTTACTAGTAAACCTAACCTAATACCTGCCTATATAATAATGTTTTAAAATTTATTATTTTAGCATATTATATTAAATATCTAAAGTGGTTGTTTAAAAATAATTATCGGAAAAATGAACTGTGTTATAGATAGGAAAACATATTTCATATATTTATAAAAAATAGTTTAATGTTATACACAATAATTTGTACAATAAGATACATGCTAATGTGACGAAAGCTGCACCCATTAGCATCAATATTTGATATTTTAATAGAATATAATCTAATAAAACATAATAATTATTAACTAGATATTATTATAATTGTGAATATTGATACACATTGTAATAAATATTTTTTTTGTATTTAAAATTATGGTTGAATGTATTTTTGTTAAGGAACAGATAAAGATGACAAATTATTTTAAAATTGTATTAAATTTGTAGACATCTAATAAATCAAATGATTATTTAACAAGTAAGCGAATTGCGACAAAAGTAATTGTTCGATTGTTACTCAATCGAAAAAAGGTAAAAAATAAAAAATACAATTGAAATAGAAAAAAAATACTTACTTTTTCGAAGACTTCAATTTGCACGAAATTAGTGAAATCAAAATATAAATCGTTGGAAAATGAAATCCTTCGTAACCTTTGTAGAAAATAAAATCATTAGTGATAAAAATATTTACAAAACATATGATGCATGGAAGATTTGACATTTCTACGTTATCATTACACCATACGCCGTTACGGTTTATCATAGATAACATAAGAATATTTTATTAGGTATAATTATGATGACCAGACGTACATTTTTTCGTAGGACAGTACTCGATTTTGATGCATTGTCCTATGTCTTTAACAGTAGTGTCGAGTAGATGAAATCGATACCTTTATTTTGAAAATTATAAGTAATAAATTAATTTTAAAATGTACTGTTTTTTAGATTATTATACCTGGTCACAATAGCCATAATTGCTATTCACACTTTTAACCACGGCTATAGATATTATAGTATGGTATCTATAGCCGTACTTTTAACTTTAGCAGCATTCAGTGTTTCAAGAAGAACGTGTACAGTTACTCCAAGTTTCATAAAGTGAGGCGTTTTACCTATACAGTGATGAATGACAAATGGCCTCGATTTACCGCTCCTCCGGGAACATCACCTCGCTTATAGTAGTGGCATATCCATTTCTTCATTACTATGGGTTTACACTATTGCAACGAACAGTAATCGGACAATTGGTCCCAGACCTTCATACCTACCTATATACCATTTGTTCCACAAACTACTTGTTTACAGAATAGTTCCACGTAATATTACCTTTTGTTCAATAAACATTTGTTTTATGGAACAAAAGTCAAGTCAATTGGAGCAAATATGTTTGGGAAAAATAGTTAACGGTGAAAGCCGACCATCAGTCACCGTTCCCGCGTGATTGTTTTTGTTCAAGTACCAAATATTTTGTGTGGCGACCATAAACATATAACATATAGACATATATTTGTCTACGGTGTCAATACGTTGGAAATTAAATATATATCTGTACACAACGATTCACCGTTTCTAACGAAAAATGATTCTGAGCGGAGTTCGGTTAATAGTGTTGCTTTGTCAACAATATATGTCATATTATGGTAAAATAATTGCATACCTATGTATTAGGTATTCTCTTTAATAATATTGTAAATATTTTCCTATTGTTCCTACTTTTTTCCCCCGGTTTTTATCATTTATTGAGAAAACAACAGCTGGAAAATAAAAAAAAATGACTTCCTTAAAGTATCACTATAGTCAGATTTCTTTTCAGAAAAAATACTGTACATACCTGCTTGAAAATCGGAGCAAAACAGCTGGTAGTAAAGTTGAAACTAAAATATGGTATGCATAAGTTGTAAATAATGTAGGCCTGGCCAGGTCAGCGGGGCAGTGAATGCTGTTGAGGCCTTCGCCTTTTTTTTTTTCTTTTAGACGTTTGCTTTATTTGATGGATTGGGACAAAAACTCTGTATAGTGTATTGTTACGGTCTTTCTCATAATCTACAGATAATTTTTTATTTGTTTATTGGACTGAACTGGTATCCAAACAATGGCATAATTGCTGACCTGGATATCATTAGTTTAACACACACATTTGAGCTCCCCCATGCAGAAATATTTTTACTGGGAGTTTTATTTTCATAAGGAATATTGACCAGAGACCCTAAATTAATACAAGCGTCCAGTTTCGGAGTGAACAGACCCCGCGTTTTGAGTGAAATCGTATCACGATGTAGATAAAACGTACTTGTGAATATTTTAGAATGTAAAAATCTGAAAACTAATGTTCATACGTCATACATACTCAGTGGCGTCAATTTTGAATAAAAATTCTAAAAAACGGTATTTAAAATATTTAATTAAATATTGAAGTTATTTGCAAATTGAGGAATTTTGGCAGAAAAAAAACTGCCAAAGATGAAAAAATAGGTTGCAGTAAACTGTTCAAATTAACTAATTCACTAATTCAAGTACTTTTCCAAACGAGTTCTGACATGATTGGTCCAGGTTAACCTGCGGTCTAATGTTAGACCAAGATATTTAACAGTTGGAGAGGAAGAAAGGGGAATACATTCGGCTATGGGACTAATCTAAAAGTGAAAATCGTGTGGGTAGACTTATTTTGATTTATTTTGAATCACTATTTAGTAAACCAACTTCCTATGTGATCAAAGTGGATTTGCAGATTACCTGAAACGATAAGAGAGTCAGAGTTGATAAACATTATTAACTTATTATCGGCGTAATTGGTCACTGATGTTTTAGGAGTGGTTGGTTGGTGGGAAACGAAAATATTATAAAGAATATGGGATATTATTCCACCTTTCGGAACGTCAGCACGAATGGCTGAAATATCCGAGAACGGATTTAAATAATTTTTTTTTCCGTCTGTAAACAACTTTTTGAAAATAAATCTTACTCCGATGTAAAGAACGTAATACCTTTTTTAAAAGACAATCATTTCTATAGTTGTTGCATTATAGTTGTCATTTTTTTGATTTCCCAATGGGGTTTCAAAATAATTGCGGAAAACCCGAAAGAAAATCATAGGGAAAACTGCAAATATTTACGGCGCGCCGCGGCGTTACACATTTTGTTGTTTTTAATTTCCGAGACTTGTGTTTACTACTAGAAATATTACTCCAATCGAAAAAACGACAAGAGACGGACTTTGTTCCTTTTGTTATGTATGGCCACTGTTGGCGGCGAAAGTCATTTGTCGATATCCATAGTAGTTTTCATAATAACCGGGAAAAACTAAAAAAACACGAAAAATATGTTTTTTTTTTTTTTTTTTTTGTGTGTGCGATTTCGGGTGTTGGACGCGGGTATTGGGTTGGGTTTGGCGACCGGCGGCGGGCATAATGTATGCATAATTTCGACACGAACGCCGGACAATAATAATTTAATGTTATAATACCGTACCCATCGAACGCGCGTCGCTATTATCGCATACAGCCGTACAATGCGCGCACACCATATTAATATGTTATTTGTTTTTGTTTTTTTTTTTTGTTTTTTTTCATCGGCGAACCGACACGCAATAATTATACGTAAATAATATTATAATAACGCGTTCGCGACGTCGCGAAAAATACCGGCCGCGACGGAAACACCGGGTTCCGTTGGGTGTACACGATAATCACGATTATTACGCGGTGTATTTGGCGGTTTTTCACGGCGCGCGGCGGAACATTCGGCCCGTTCGCGCGTTAATTTTTAAACGGCGGCCCCGCGGCATTGTACAGCTGCGCGTGTGTATCCCGCCGGGCCGTGATAAATAATTAATTCGGCGCGATATTTTATTTATGAACGAATCGCGGGCCGTCCGAAATCTGGACGCGCACCGACGGCGGCGCGGGCCGAGACGTCAGATGTCGCGCGGTATCACCGCACCGAACCCGCAGACTTTTGCCGTGGCACCCGACACCGGGACGACGACCGCGATATTTTAACGGGGGCTGCGGCCGCGCGCTAGGGCACAATATACGCTGCACAAGCGAGTAGCGATCATGTCGGCCGACCTGCGCTCGGCCATCAGACTGTGCCGGTTGATCGGGCTGTTCCCGCCCGGATCGAAGCCCGACGTCGCGGCCGCGTACAGAGCGTACCAAGTGTTGCTGTTCGCGGTGGTCAGCACCGTGACCGCCACCATGACCATCCAGCTGTTCATAGCCCCCGAACTGGACACGTTGGCCCGGACAATCGACATATGGACAATGTGCCTGTCGGGCTTGTACAAGTGGTACTGTTTGGCCGTGTTCGTCGACAAGTACCGCACGTTACACGGGCTATTGGACAGAGTGCGGGTCCAGGCCGAGGTCGTTTACGGGCCGTCCGCGCATCGTTTCATGGCCAATCACGTGCGGCGCGTTGGACTGATCAGCAACGTGTACGGGCTGAGTGGAATCTTAGTCGCCGGGTTCCTATCGTTGGGCGCGATGTACTCGTATCCAAAAGGGTACATTTACATTATTATCTATAATTATTAACGCCGATATACGCTATATGCAAACGAAAAAATAGCCCACGTACCGCCAGGTTCATAATAGCCGATGTACTTTTTAGGGGTGAAAACGAATTTGAGCGTTATGAGGCATAACGCTCGTCATAACTTATAACGTATCCAACAAGATTAAATTTTGACAAAAATCGGTACATTTAAAACGTGTTTTATCGAACTTCTTGTAGCGCTGATGAAGCACCTTAAAATCATTGGATATACAAGGAATAAGAGAGTAAAACGCATTAATTTTGTATAAACGTGATGTTTTTGAAAAAAAAAAAATCAACTTCTAAAAATACAAATCGATTAGAATTTATATGATTTGCGCTGTAAATTAATAAGTCTAAATTTCACGTGACAACATAATGGCAATTATGGGGGGCACCCAGTGAACACAATATATTTTATTATATAGGTATAAACGTTCCAGTGGTCAGCAGTTTTTGCTTTGAAATAATTAATGTAACAGTGTGAAGATTTGATTTCAAAATTGTAATAAATAAAATGTTATGAGATTAATATACTTATTTTTTAAAATATTTTAAAATTATGAAGGTTAAATAAAATTATTGATGTATTTAAATGAATATTGAAATTCGTGATACATGAACAGCAGTATTTCAAACTGAGAATAAACACATTTTAGGTAGATATTTATAATGTGCAAGTTTGTACATTTTTAATTTTTTCTTTAACTACTTAGATATTGGATATTTTTAATTTTTATACCGCGAAGGGCCTCAAAAAAATATTTGCCCCGGGCATCCGAAAGTCTAAGGTTTGTAGGTGGGAAGTTTGGAAGGCAGGATACATAACGTTATTTAATTTATATTGGATTCGGAGTGAAATTCGGTTAAACATGTTTTGAAAGGCCGTAATATTTACGATTTTCGTCAACATTTGATATTATTATACACTCTTAAAAAAAAAAAAAGCTACATTATACTCATTTTTTTTTTTACCACTAAGTGCGACTTATAATGAATGTCCTTTTAAGTTCTCAAGCATTTCTGTTCAGCCAAAAAATTTTATCCACAGAGTACCTTACCAAATAAACACTAAATAAAAACAACTCACAAAATTAATATTCTAAGGTTAGATTAGGATAATTAAAAGTCTATATGTAACTCGAATGGCTTAAATGTTTTGAACATTTTACCACGTCTAGAAAACGCAAGTATAAGTTTTCTGTCTAAATTTTAAGTTTCTACGAACATTTGTAATAAAAATATTATTTTCGTAAATGTTCCCGCGTTCTTTCAAAATGTTTCTATTGGAGCAATATTTCTGGTATAAAACATAATTTGCACAAATTAATAACAATGAAATAGGTAACGCCTTGGTGCGTCGTAAATATTTACCGTTTTACATATAATTTTGTTTGTGGTTTTATTCAATTATTTTATTAACCACTAGGAAAAATCAAAAAATTACCTCACTAATGCACCAACTAGATTAAAGTTTCTTTCAGAACAGGTGCTATACTTGTTGCGTCAGAGCAAGTTTTCTTTTCGAAAAGTTATTTACCAACAGAAAAAATAAATCGCTACGTTCCGCATATAACACGGTCGAAGGCGCATGAAAAAAAACCGAACCACCCTTGATATCTCGGTTCTGAGTTCTTCCATTTTTTTCAGTATACATGTATAGGATTGTTTAGGTAAGCATACTGAATGACGTATATGTACGAATAAAGGGGTTTGTTTAATACAGGTATTTAACCAGGAATTGCTGAACGAGAAAGTAACAATATAATACTACAAATGATTTTTTTCATTAACATATCAAGTACCTATACATAATAATAGAATCGTGAAACCATAGTCTGAGTTAATAATATAATATAATACATTTTTAACATTTTAAAATACTAAAACTAAATTTTAAAGTGTCACGTGATATTTTGTATATTAAATACCAAATTTTGGTATAATTTCATATTTTCACCACATATTGCAATGTCTATTGATTTTTTTTTTTTTTTATAGCAATCGATCCGATCTTGAATACTTTAATGACCCGAAGAGCTATCCTTTATGTTGTTGGATGCCGTTTACCGTGTCTAATTATTGGGTTTTCAGTCTCATATGCGTGTTACATTTTTTGGTACTTTTATCAGCTGTATTTATGTATTTATTAATTGACACGTACATGTTCGGAGCTATTTTCATTATGGGCGGTCAATTCGAATTGCTGAACGAAATATTATCCAGTGTAAGACGTAAGTACCAGCAAGTCTATTTGTTTTATAGTTTGTATCTATAAAATATATACTCTTTGCAGGCATAATGCCTGCATTAGAAAAAGAATGGCCAATGCCAAACATTTTTTTTTTTTAAACATTAAACAATATTTTTTGTTACATTAATTATTTCAATTTCTTTATAAATATAGAATTTCGGAAACTTAACTTTTGAGTTAATTTTACTCGTGAAATGTATTTTTTAAATTTTTTTTTTTTTTTGTTGACATTAATCCTTCTTGCATCAAGCCAAAAAAATATGCTTCATATTATTATTTAATAGTTAATGCAGGTTTTGTGTGTGTGATTAAACCGTTTTAAGATTTTAACATAAATAAGATACAATTTATTGTTTTCTATGCATTGATAAATATTTCATAACATTTTGATAATGTTTATAAATATATTATATAGCGATGATAAAACCAAATTATTCCAGCAAGCAAAATAAATTAAAATCTGTTGACGATCAAAAACATATAGACTGTTGTTATTTTCTTTCGCAGTGCATAAATTACCACAGCTTAATTTTAAAGTAAGTGAATTTAATTTCTATAATAATTATAGATACTTGTACCATAGTATAGAACTATATGTGGTAAAATTCAAATGAGTTATTATTAAAAAAAAACTGGTAGAATAAAAGTAGAACACGTAAAAACATCGCAATCACAAATTCAAAAACGTTTTACAATTCGTTGTTACTTGTTATGTTTTTAACAATACGTTTTTTTTTATTATTCTTGAAAGAATATTTAAAATCTGTGTTAAATAGCACAATAAGCAAATCTGATAACAATATAATATAATTTTAACCATGAGTAATATGATGAGGGAGGTTATCCTGTGATAAAACCTGCAGCGTAATATGTTAACAATATTTATATTATATTGGTATTTAAATGATAATTTAACGACTAATGACTGGAAAGATAGCCGCCACGTTTTTATTTACACCGGGAGTGTCACTTATGATTATATCTATTCTGTGCTATAACTAAGGCTACTAGACACCACTATACTCAGTGGCAGATAATCCTCTCCTCCATTAATTTCATTCCCATTCATACTCTTAGCTACAATATACTCTGAGCATGATTTTGATCATAAATGTGTGCCTCATATGGATTTTCAAAATCGTCTCTCCCGTTAACTGGCTTTGGATCAATCCCTGTCTGTACTTTACTTTTTTCGTTAACTTATCTAATGATCAAGTTCCACACATGCATCAACCCACTCGCCTAATTTGGTCATGAAGCAGTTGCTTCATAGGATTTTAACTTAAATTATTATTTTAACTTAACACAAATGTATATTTTTAAATTAACTTTAACTCAGTTATTATTTTAGGATTTAAGGATTTTTTAGCATAAATTAGTTAAAAAATTGGTTAACTTGTTCTATTTTGGATGTTTTGGAATTAACTTTTTTGTGTTTCGTGTAGCAACAATAATATTATAACAATAACGTATACCTCATACAAATTAACTATGACTAAGTGCTATATTATATTTTGTACAGATCATTACGCAGTTTACAAGATATGTTCAACACGCTGATTATTTTTGATTATTTGCACGGAATAACTTCATTGACATTTGCTATGTTTCAGACAACGGTGCTCATAATATATTATACTAATGCTATTATCTGATTTTTTTTTTTTTTTTTATGAAAATAACATTATTACATCATAAATATTTAACAATGGTTTTTATTTCTAGATTAGCAGCAGTATTGAAGAGACGATAAGTTTGTTAGTATTCATTTCGATTAGCATTATCCATCAATATCTCAACAACTTTTTTGGAGAGTATATCATACAAAAGGTAAGCGTGATCACACTAGGAATCCCAGATCATTAGCTTACGTTGTAAACTATCCTTTTCTAACAATGTTGGCCCACGGACTTCTCTTTCTGATATCAGTCCATTTATTTAATATTCCTATGGTATAAACAGATAACACGGTGACTTTTTTTTTCTTATTTTTAGCAACTTAACGTACAACGTGCCGCGTACGATTTCCCTTGGTTGTTCATCAACAAGAAATCGCGACAACTAATAACAATGCTGATTTTTAGATCAAATAAGCCTCTTATTGTTACCGGGTTTTATATGTATGAACTGTGTTTCAAATCATTCTTGGCGGTAAGAATAATATTGTAATATACTTGATAGCCCGTCATATGATAGATTAAAGTGGTTTCGGAATGTACAAAATGGCTAGCGACCAAGTCCAATTATATAGCTATAAAATATAAATATAAATATACGATATAATACCATAATACTATGGGGCGCCATCAGATTTTTAGAAAATACTTTAGGGTACCGTGTGTCAAAAAAAGTTGGGAACCTCTGACCTGGAAGGTCGGAGGATGGTCAACTCCTATAAAAGTAGGTAATCTCGTACATTGACATTTAATTATTTTGTTCTGCGATTACTGGTATGGATGCTATAAGCTTTTTATTTCTGAGTGACGAAAAAATGTTTTTTCTCACTTAAGTGCAATTATTACAAAAAAAACATCATTGTAAAACCAATAAATATTCCTCGCTACACTCAGAATCTAAATTGTAAAAATGTCTGTGTAGGAGATTACACTATCTATTTTCGACAGGTAAAAAGGGACTATGTAGGAGTTTACACTATGTTTTAAATACAAGTCAAAAGGTCATTTTTGTAGGAGTGTACATGTATCCAGAGACTCGTCCTGGTTTTCCTCTTTGCGACCCGGTTAAGAGAAAAAATTAATCATTGCTTACAAAAAACGATTCTGACTATTCTGAGCGGAGCTCGGTTATTAGTATTGCTTTTTCAACAATATATATGTACGTAATAAGTAAAGTGAAACAATTTGTATTGACCAGTAACTAGATTTATTTCACATAATTTTTTATCAAAACCATTTTCCTCAAAATTTGATATTAAAATTCTTATAAAAAAATATACTACATTAAATTAAATTTGTTTTGTTTTGACCGCAAAGTATATCTTATAATTAACTTTCTGTTCAGTTTCCAAGCATTTCTGTTTTGCTTAACAATTTTATCTACACCTGGTTTGTGGTTATACAAGTATAAAATGTAAACATTTCAGACGTCATATGATATTGGGCCTATGGTAGTATATTAATATAATAATAAATTAAAAACTTTAATTCAATAACAATATCAATTTAATTATTACAGTTTGTTAAAGCGTTGTATACTTACTACATGGTGCTGAGAAAAGTCAACCAGGAGGAAGTCAATTAATATTATTTTAATATTAGGCAGCAGTTGTTTTTACGGTTTATATATAGTAAATGTGTATACAGGGTGATATTTTTATCATGAACCTGCAACTATCTCGGAGGATCACATACTTTTGATTTTTAAACAGGAACCCTCCCCCCTTTTGAACACAGATTTGAATAGAGAATATTTTTTCTAGAAATTTTGATTTGCACTAATATCAGATTTCCCATTTATGAGTTAAAATAGTTTAAAGTTTAGACCGGAGGGGTAGGGAATGGTAATAGATAGGCATCACCCTGTATTATATAGTTTTATTGTAGGAATAAGCTTATAATTGTATGTATTTTGTAGTTATATTAAATAGATTTCAAATTTTTATAAATATGTCAGGTACTAATAATTGTATACACCCATAATGAAATTTCTAAAGATTCATGCAACCATATCTATTATTTACTGCACTTAACATTATATTTCTTTGTTAAATTTAATAAATTAGTAAACAATGATAATAATGATTTGGTACAATCATATTGTTTGTAATTATTTATTTATTTGATTTAAAAGTAGAATGTTAATTTATTGTAATAAATTAATAATCCGATAAACACTCATATAATGCATACAGATATGTATATTAAATAATATATAACAATATGTTATTTTAATTTGTCCTTAGTGTTTTGGTGCATCATATGGTGCACGAAGGCTATTGTAAAATAACATTATTTGCTTTCAAAATTTTCAGATAATTATAATATGCAGGGAATGGATTTACAAACATTTTCGTATTCATTTTTAGGGGTATTTTTATGGTACGAAACAAAGTTGACAAACAAAATGTCGTCAGGTTAAAATACCGAGAGAATCGAAATACCGAAAAATATCGAAATGTGTAGAAATTAAATAGTTCATTCAATTCAATCATAGTACGCGAAAGAATAATGTTCAATATATTTTTCATTTAATTCCAAAATAATTTCTAATAATCTTTCATCTAATAGTCGTGTGTGTATACACCCAATTCTTTATTAATACATATACTCTTTTTTTGTTACTATTTATTATTATTTGTTTTTTTTTTTCTATTGTGTAACCACTGAGGAATATATGTATTTATTATACGTCTCTAATAATAATAAAAAAAGATACACTTAATATTTCTCCATATATTTAACATAGCATGCTTACGATAGTGCTGTTATGCTGATTGACATCTTGACTTTTCTTAGTTCGACCAGTGGCGACGCCAAGATTTATTTTAGGTAGGAACAATAGGAGGCTAACAATTATAAAGTAAGGCCACAAAAAATAATATTTCAGCAAAAAAAAAAAAAATTCTGATAGCTCAAATAAATAAATTATATTTCTCTTCTATTTAATAAACTATTATATTAAATATAGACCATACATAAAACATATTCAATATAAAATAAATGAATGAATTTCAATATTTTGAACAATTATAATAACTATAATAATGAATTCTATTATCATACCAATTTAAGTGGACTCTCGTGTTACATTCAGAAATAGTATGGCAAAACTTTGTCACATAAAGCATCAACATAGAAATGTATAAATAATAAATAAGAACATTTGTAACTAAAACTTTTAGGAAATCAAAAAGAAATTGAAATACATAGATTCCGAGTGTAGCGAGGGAGCTATTGGTTTTACAATACTATTTATTTCTTCTTTTTTTTCTTTGTTCTTTGTTCTTTGTTCTAGTCTGTGGACATTACTTACTGAAGGCATGGTCTAACAGAAAGCCCGGGCTGCCAGCGTGAGACATTTGTCTACACGTGATCGGTTAGGTTCTTAGGTGTGGATGTGAATTTGGCCGCTCCAACTTTGTCCGATCGATTCGGACCTGTACTGCTGTACAAATATTTTGTTAATTTATTTTTAGAAGTTGCAAACTTCAACGAGAGAAATTTGATAATTGTTTCAAAATTGGTGTGGCCAACTTTACGTAGTCCCCTCCTCACATTGTCCAATCAATCTCGGACCGGTGCCAATAGTTTGCAAACTCGTTTTCAGAATTTTTAAATCGCTCGTTATCACGTAACTTAAATACTTAAACGTATTATCTTATTTTTTTAAATCTAACTATACAATAAAAAGGTATAATGAAAAAAAAAAAATGTATTATTTATTTATTCCATGAATACCTTATTAGTATCTATCTATCCATCTCACTCACTCGATGTCGTCCTATGTTTTCTCTGTACAGGATCCGTCCATAGGTTAATAGGCCTATGTGATTTTGCAAGATAATACCAATCTCAACAAACGCAAATTTTTTCGAACGGGAATGTTGAATTGTTAAATTTACAAACATGAAATAAATTATGTATTTATGTATCAATTCTCTGGTTTAACATTCCCGCGGAAATTCAAATGTCTATAAGCTGACTATCAGTTATCACCAACATAGGTTCGATTCACTGTTGTAGCATTTGCGTTCTTAAATCAGAGACAACATTCAATTTAACATTTGGAAACCGATAAAATGGCTACGAATTGTCCGTGTTTGGCCCACACACACACACACACACACAATGTCAATAAAACGACAGTAAAATTTGTCAGGTTTCTCTTATTGATCGAACACGGTTGTTTCAATATTAATAAAACCGCAATCGTAATAAAATATGAGATTGTTGTAAGTCTGCAGTAGTCTATTATTATAGGCACTATGGTCTGATAAACGAACCTAATATTTTTTCGATAGAAGTTTAATAAATGTATAATAGACAATAACGGGAATATTTTGCTCAGAGAACGTTAGAAACGTACCCATGTACACGATTATAATACTTGGGTATACGCTGCAGTCTGTAATTTCGAACGAATAAGGGAGAGTGAAAAATGGGCGTACATATTTTTACAAACGGTTTTGATTTTCCTTTGAACGATAATAACATAGGTACACATTATAATAATGTGTTCGAAATTGCATAGGTTGATGACGGCTACTTAAACAATGTCCGATACGTTAATAGTGATATTATCGTCCGTCCGAAACACACCCGAATTTAATTCAAGTTCCTTTCTTCCTTTTTTTTTTTTTTTTCTGGCTTATAGCAGCCTTACGACAAGCATACAACTCGGAACCTCGTACACTCTACACACCAATCTACACCGATACCGAAACTGTAGTTTTATGACACTATTATTGCTGTTCTAATAATCGCGAGGTTACGTTCGATTCGCTCAATAGCTGCAGCGACGATCGCGGTCGTCATGTCGGCCGACCTGTACACGGCCATCAGACTGTGCCGGTTGATCGGCCTGTTCCCGCCAGACCGCGCCGAATCGTGGCCGGCGTCGGTCGCGCACAGAGCGTACCAAGTGTCGCTGTTCGCGGTGGTCAGCGTCGTGACCACTACCATGACCATCCAGCTGTTCGTAGCGCCCGACCTGACCATGCTGGCCCGGACCATTGACATATGGACAATGTGCCTGTCGGGACTGTACAAGTGGTTCTGCTTGGCCGTGTTCACCGAAAAGTACCGCACGCTACACGGGCTATTAGACAGCGTACAGACCCAGGCCGGAGTCGTCTACGGCCCGACTGCGTCGTGCCATTTCATAGCCAACCATTCGCGGCGCATTGGATTTATAAGCTACTCGTATGGCTTGAGTGGCTTAATCACGGGAGTGATCCTAACGCTGGGCGCCATGTTCTCGTATTCAAAAGGGTTAGAGTTACTTTACTTCTTCAACTCTTTTATCCATTACCATCATAATGATCATCAATTGATTACTTCGTTACTCATCCAATATTGGTGTTATGCGTCACAGCATTTAAAAATGTAGGATTACAGGGGCGATAGGGGCGATTGCCATTTAGGTATTTATGTAACCTAGGTTATGTAAGTAACTGTTTAGTATTTTAATTATTTCGATTTCATATAAATATAGTATAATGAAAGAAACGAAGTTTAAAATTTTATCTTTCTGTTTTTCAACGAAAAAATAAAATAGTTTTAACGATCCATAAAAATTATTTGGTTTATTTCAATCATGCAATACGAACGTAACAAGCGAATCCAATACTGTTTTAAATCCAATGATTTTGTTATCCTGAATGTATTTCATATATTTTTCTTAATTATTATAAAAATTATGGATTTCAAAAAGAAAAGAAACACGGTTAAAATTGTACAGCATACTTTGGTTTTTTTTTTTTTTCAAATTAAAAAACTTACATTGATGACCAAAATAGTGTACTGGCCGAAAACGGTCGCTGTAGAACGGCCGAATTCGGAAAGGTTCGTTTTAGCCAAAAACGGTTAACGGTCCCGCTCCTGCGGAAGGTCTCCACGTTACATTAATCCGCGATTATTAAAATCGCGTTGCCCTGGTGGGAGAACTACTTTGCGAAATAATGAATGTTCAACGATAAAAAAAAATCACCTTGTATATTATAAATATATAAATATATATAAATGTGAAAATGGAAATATTTGTCACGCATGTTCTCTGATAGACTAGACCAATTTTCACGTGGTCTTTCGCAAAACGATCCGCGTTGTCTGAAGAAGATTTTCAAATTCCGAACTCCACGATCTGACCAGTAGAAGTAGTAGACCTAACATGCAGTAGATCGTTTGAGGGACATCAATCGTACAATAGTACAACTGAGTAATTCGAAATAATCGACGTAAGACGCGCCAGAGTACATACTTTTAAAATACATTCCTCGCTCCACTCGAAATTTGACAATAATAATTATTTTGCGTTGCCGTATTTATTATCAAATAGATCGATCAACAAATATTTCTAAGCGTCAGCGTCTCAGCAGGTTTATTCACGGCGATGATTAGACCGTCGCCGGGAAGCCAAATAAAAAAAATCTAAAAAGTTTTTAACCATGCCAGCAAGAGAAACTTGCTGCGAGTTCTAAGCCTGCAGCGTTAAAATGGGAAGGAAAACGACGATTATAATTATTTTTTTTATTATTTACCTATATAGTAACCTAACCAGTGCTGGCCCTAGGGGGAGAAGCGGTGCGAACGCACCGGGCCACGCGCTTGTGAGGGGGCCCCACAAATTATGTATTCCGAATATCACTTTATCTGTAAATGATCATAATAATGTTGTCCCGATAATAAGCAAATTTCCACGACGTGCCGTGTGACCGTGTGGTTTTTTTAGGACTCGGGTTGTTATCGACGAAAATCAACGTGGTACCAATTATACACAGCTAATAAAAATATTGTAGGTACCTGCTCATTTTGTGTCTAATATGAAAATACAAATTTGATTTTATTAGTTTATATTTGTAGGTATACAAATTTAGGTTTATAACGGGGCCACGCAAAATTCTGCACCGGGCCCCGAAATCTATCGGGCCGGCACTGAACCTAACCCAACCTAACCTAAAGATAAGCATTTGCTGCACGGGCAAAGCCGGGCGGGACAGATAGTATACACGACGCATGGGTATATTATGTAACATTACTTTTGTTTACAGCGACCGGTCCGATTTCGAGTACTTTAACGACCCGAAAAGCTATCCGTTGTGCTGTTGGATGCCGTTCACCGTGCCCAACTATTGGGTCTTCAGCATCATATGCGTGTTACAATTTTTGGCACTTTTATCAGTAGTGTTTATGTACATATTCATTGACACGTACATGTTCGGTGCTATTTTCATTATGGGCGGTCAATTCGAATTGCTGAACGAAATATTATCCAGTGTAAGACGTAAGTACCGCGGCAATAACACGCGTCGGTTATTACGCGTGGGCTGCACCTGTTTACTATAATTTCGTACTCCGCGTGTTCCTCGCGCGTTATTTGAAGCCGTGTCAAACACACTGAGCGCAACGTAGAGCAACATTTGCAGTTTCCCGAGCGGAGTTTCTGTAGGTACGTGTTTTGTACTTTTTCATTTTTTCTGAAATTTCTTCCAGAAATCTCTCTCGGTTTAAAAAACGACGGGACATTTTTCGTTGCACTTTAGATCGAGTTGGTTGGGCACTAGAAGGACTATATTTATTTTTATTTTTCAATCGTTTTTCATAATAATTGGAAAAAACGGGAAAGTTTATGGCATTTATAGTTTTAATTAATTTCGATTTCGTTTTTTTTTTTTTTTTTTTTGTTTTAATTCTGTTAAAAATAATCGCGAAGCAGAAATGTTCACAGAATACCTACTTATATTAGCCTTTTTTAGGCATGGTGAAATTATCAAATTATTTCAGCGATGTTTCAGTCTTTTATAGGCATTTGATGTTTTCGAATTTTTTATGATCAAATTAACAGATTTTTCGTTTGAAAAATGTTAACCTAATTAAGCGCTTAAGTAGGATTGATCTGTAAACCTAATATTTTATCTTGTTTTCTCTATTTATCGTGTTTTATGGATACATAGCAACACAATCTGCGACGTATGCTTTAAGTCTACTCCGATCTTTCGACCACCAAAAGCAGGACGAATATTATAATTTCCTCTCGCAATGTGTGGAGCTTCACAGTTTAATTTTAAAGTAAGTGAATCGTAATGTTAATAATACTAGTCCAGTGTCGGCCTGGCCATGACCGCTAATCCGCGGAAATTAAATTCATTTAAAATCCTCTAAGAAAATTGCTGGTTTATAATAAAAAAAAAAATCACCCTGTATACATATATGTACGTTTTTACATGTCTCCGCGAAATCGGCCATTGTTATTTTTGTTTTTGAAATATTCATGGCCTTTTTATTATTCATTCATGGTGGCTCCTAAAAACAAAATGTTCCAAAGGCCCTTGGTATGCCCAGCTGACACTGAGTACTTATGATCTACTTATAACTGATATACAGATCTATAAAAACACTATTGTGCGACGGACGACAGTTTTGTTTGGAAAATGCACGACGAACCGAGGAAATCGATTAGAAAGATAATCGTACATCGTCCAGTAAAATGTGGTTGTTTTTTTGAAATTCAATGCTTACCTACTCTTATTCGTATTCAATTATTATATGTATCAAAAAAAAACCAATGATAATAATGTATTGTTGAACAGATCATTGCGTAGTTTACAAGATATGTTCAACACGCTGATCATTTTCGATTATTTACACGGTATGACTTCACTGACATTCGCCATGTTCCAGACAACGGTGGGCGTATACGTTATTAATATTTATGTCGTCGTTTATTTTATCCGTAATTCATTTCCAGATTAGCATAAGCATTGAAGAAACGATTAGCTTGGTAATATTCATCGCCTTAAGCCTCATCCATCAGTTTCTCAACAACTTTTTTGGCGAGTATATCATACAAAAGGTTGGTAAGTAAAAAGTAACCAAATGTAAACGACACGCGATTCGTTATATTTTATTTTCGTTTTTAGCAACTTGACATACAACGGGCCGCGTACGACTTGCCGTGGTTGCGCGTCAACAAGAAGTCACGGCAATTGATAACAATGATGATTTTTAGATCGAGCAAGCCTCTGGTCGTTACCGGGCTCTACATGTACTCACTGTGTTACCAATCGTTTTTAGCGGTGAGAAACGACGATCGATAGACGGAACTAATAGTATTATTAACTAATTGTTTTTGAAATCGACAAATTGGCGATACACCAATTCCGGGTAAAATGTATAGCAGAAGAAAAAAATGTTGCACAACCTATATAGGTACCAACTCTCGTAGTAAACTATGCGATTAGAAATTTAAATTACAGCCATGATGTATAAATATTTGAAATGGAGGAAAACGTATAATACGAAAGTTTTTTGATTTATAAACATCTACAATTGATTTGTGATTTATTTTTATTTTTTGTAGTCTATTAGTGTATTTTAGGGGGGGAGGGGAGTTTTGAAAGTCCTTTTAAATTTAAAATGAGAACCTAAAGTTTTTTCGCAAACACAATGTAAAGATTAATTTCTCCAATACATTTTAGTGATTGAATAACGCTAATTTATTCGAAATTATGCTAGAAAACGAATTATAGCAATAAGCGGTGAGCAACGTGGCACATAGTTTGAAAAGTGAAGTCATTAGTACTTATTAAAGTAACCTAACCTGGTGTACAGTTAAAATACAGTTTTTAAAACTAAACCGTTTTCAAGCATAGTTTTGGACAGATTAATGTTATTCAATCACTAAAATGTATTAAAAAAAAATATCTTTATAGATTTTTATATTATATTTACTAAAAAAGTATAGGTTCCCATTTGAATTTCAAATGTTAACCCCAAAACCTTCCCTAAATGATTTTAAAAAACAATTATACAAATCACTTTATCTGTTAATAAATCAGAAAACTTTTGTACTATACATTTTTCTTTACTTTGAATATTTATATGTTAAAATGGCTTGTAACAAATTTTGTATTACCATATATAGGCAAACAGATGGAGATCAAACTCAAATTTTTAATTGATTTCTGAGTTTCCAAGATTTTATCTAACCAGCTATTAAAAAGTTTCCTATGAAATCATTTGTTATTTGCAATGATTTATTGTTGCTTTCAGCTAAACTATCCAGAATCTTATAATATTAACTTTCCGTTTACAAAAATGGCTTAAAAATGATGCAAAATAAGTCCATTGTCCACACTTTTTTCTCTTCAAGATTTTTATTAACAACAAGTCACAAGATCCAACAAAAAAAATATTAGGTAGATAATAGGTAGGTACTTACTCTTTTTCGTAATTATTTTCCAATTTATTTGTGCATATAAGACATCATTTAGGTATTGGAGTGGTAAACTTTTTTTACTACCTCAGAGCCAAATGTTTTAGTTAATACTAATATATTAAATAGTATAATAACTCAGGGAATTTAATTTACGGTATCTCACAGAATATGAACATAACATTACTGAATATTTTATTATAAAATCTAACCACCAATTTCATATTTACAGTTTGTTAAAGCGCTGTACTCATACTACATGGTATTGAGAAAAGTCAACCAGGAGGAAATTGATTAAAATTTGATGAGTATTGTATTTTTTATATTTCATTTTAATTTTAGTGTCTAATATGCCAAGTACCTAACTACAATGTATTATGATATTAAACATCATCATAGTCATGTGTGTGTGTAACAGACTTAAATTCTTTTTTAAAAAAACAATCTACTGTATGGTCTCAATATTATTTTTTAAAGAAATAAAATCAAAGTTGATTTCAGAAGTTTTTTTATTTTAATTATCATATTTGTATTGTATATCCATCATCATTTTATAAATAGGAGAAGTACTTGATACTAAATGATTTTTATGAATTAAAATATAAATCCAGTGTTGTAACATCATTAAATGTTATAATTTAATTAAAATTTGTAAGTATACATACATAATTATAAATAAATAATAATCTATAACGATATTTAGTCTATTAAATGATAATAGCAGTAATAATTAATTAGGTATACAAAATATTATACACATACTGTGTATTGCGCTATTTAATACTGAAAACAGTCAAATAAACTTAAACTATAAAAATATTAAGGAGTTAGTAGCATAACTTAACACAAAAACTCTAACAAAATAATAATATAATTCCAAATTGTATACTACAAAAGGTAAAAAAATATAATATATACGGCAAATACCTAAATGTGTTTGTTTAGTACTGTGAAAAGTAAACAAAATTTAATTTCTTGTCAGTTTTAAATGAATAAGCCCATTGAATTAATTTCACCATTAGAGTATTAATAGGTAAAGTTATTAGGCATTTTATAAGAAATAATGGATTTTAATAATTACAAATATTTATTGGTAGGCTTGGTAGACTATTAGTAATGGAATATACTTTAAATATTTAATTAGGCAAACAATATAAAAACAAAGTGCTTTAAAGTAATTATGAATTGGAAAACTTTTTTTTAAATTCAATTTAAATTGATATCTATCATGATTAATTTTTTAGTACCTAATTATATTAACTATTAATTAATAGATAATATACTTTATTCGGTGTGTATATAAATTGTTACTTAAAAATAAATTAAATAAAACTATTAAGTATATTTCAAGGAAGTTACTGTAAACAAAAAATAAAATATTTTCCTTACATTTTGATGATGGAGAAGAAAAATAAATATAGGAATAGTTATTATAGATTGCACAAAGAGGATTGTATTAAAACATTGTATTAATCTTAAAATGTAGTTTCAGTAGTTCTATAATAGGTTCATGTAATTAAAGTTATTAATTCAATTGAGACGAATGTATGCAATTGGAGGCACTAGTGAACAGTATTATTATAAAAATGATTTTTCAACTCCTACTTTCTAGTACATCCTAGTTCAACAGTGATGATTATTGTTTGTTTAATCAACCAATAATTATTTTCTTATGAGAGGATACCAAAATATGACTAAGAAAATAAGTCAGTGAGAATAATATTACTAGATTATTTCAATAACTCTTAAGCTAATTAAGTATGCCATTTAAATTAGTCAATTACTATCAATAGTTGTATAGACTATTGTTCATATCAACAATGCATAGTTATTGGTTTTGTTGCTTCCTTCGAGCAGCACGTTGTTTGTCAAATCGCATTTCCATTTCTTCCAAAACTTTAGGTGTATACCTGACAACCAATTTGACAGATCCTTGAGCTTGTTTCAGTAGTTCTACAGCTTTTTCATGGTTTTCTCCCTCTACACTCTATATCCATATTTTAAGTAGACAAATAAGTTCTATGATTTTTTATAATAATAATAAAAACTCCACTAACCACTCCATTGACAGACAGTAGTTGATCGCCTCGTTTTAAACCACCATGTCTATCAGCCACACCACTAGGTATAATGCGTGATATATATATCGGAGAATTCTGTTCTCGTCCACCCATCACATTGAATCCAAGTCCTTCTTCAGTTTTGGGCAATTCTACCACTCTTGGATGGGCGTGGCCTTCACTAGCAGCAAATGCAGCAACAGTGGCTTTGGCTGTAGCCGATGCACGGACATCCTACACAGAAACATCAAAATGTAGGTCAGCACGGGCGAAGAGTAACACAATAAGTGTTACGTACCTGAGAACCTTGTATGTCAACAGTTTCGTACATGTGTTCATACACTTCACGAACGGACGCTAGAAAATCGCTCTGCAAAACTTTTTGCAATGCAGCCAATTTGGTCACTGGAACCTCTCCAGCTATAAAAACACTTTACATTATTAACTGAACAAAGATAATTATTGTTTAAGGGTTTTTACTTTTTTGGAGCTTTTCCAACAATTCGATTGCCCGTTTGACATCTGCGAAGAAATTTACAAAAATCAAAACAAATAATTGTCTATGTGTACACCGTCGACATAATAATTGTATGTAGACTTATATAAGTCATGTTAATGTTAATAGTTACGTTTGATGTGTACTTACCTTTAGCCAAATTCAACGGTTCCCCGGCGACAGCCATGTCTGTTTCTCGGCGTTGCAAAGGACAAATTGTCCTGGACAATATTGTTTAACTCACGGAAATCTAAAGATCGTATTTTAGTATTTTTATATAACTCAGAAGTCTACGGGCTAATCATTGATTAGTACCAATGATTACGCGCACGCTTATCACCGTCAGTGTTTGCGCAAGTTGTTCCAAACAACCAAATTCAAAAATAATGTAAAATTAGGATTAATTATTTCACATTGGTAGTTAGAAAAGTAATAGGTACGAAATAATTCCAATAATTGAGAGGTGTCACCGGAATTGAAGTAAGAAGTCACAGACTCACACTCTCTCCTTAAATAATTAATATACCTCGGACTTCTCTGATAAGCACGATTAGATTTATTCTATAATCATGATAAGTTAATGAGGTCACATTTTATTTATGAATAATACCACAATCAAAACGACGTGATAACAACCAATATCTGGTGATAACAACCGACCAGCCGATCGGTACAAGATTTCGAATGACGATGAAATTCGCTTGAATCGCTTGTTTTTGTTTTTTTTGTCGAGTTATTTATTAATTATTACTGTCGTTTAACCGTTTCCAACTGCCACTGACAAGAGCCAAGGGAAATATTATTATTATGCTGTTGAGATGCAATTTCTACGCAGTTTCCAGACTGATTGTTATACGGTCACCGTTTTCATGTAGAGCATGTTTGGCCATGAATGGGGTTGGCCAGCCAAGAAGGCAGCCACATAATTATGGTAGCCCAGACCGGCCCATAAATCAACTTGAAAGACCACTGTCCAGGTGTTATGCTTCGGCTGGACAATCTTCACCACTACCACCACCACCACCACCAACAAATGAAGAAAAGTCACAGAATATCTTCCAGAGGTTTAAGACAATGGCCAAAAATTACTGGTACATCGTGCTGCCTGTCCATTTGGTCACCTCGATTTTGTGGTTTGGTACATTTTATTTTATCGCCAGCAGTGGAGTTGATGTGCCTGCCCTCCTCGGCTTGTTTGGCTGTCCCGATTGGATTATTGACAAAGTGAGAAACGGTAATTCGTGGACTAGTTACTTAGTGATCGCCTACGGTCTATATAAGATATTCACTCCGTTAAGGTATATGGTAACATTAGGAGGCACATCAGCGACCTTACGTTATTTACACAAATTTAGGTATGTTAAAAATGGTAATACCAAGAAGCCATTGTAAAATAGCACAATATTTTACTTTTAGAATTTTTTTTTTTAAAATTGTTAATAGTTTGATATTGAATTATTTTGAACTGTATGCATTAATACCTACCAATTAAAACCTATTTGTACGAGTGACAATACATTCTATTGAATAATATTCAATGAGTCTTTACTGGCTACTGCTGTTATTGATTGAATTAAACATAATATATTTATTTATCTTTAAAATATTACGTTTTTCTTACAGGTAATACATTTCCTTATGATAATTGGTCAACTTGTACAAATATTAAATTATATTTATAAAAAAATGCAATGTATAATAAAATCTTGTTAATTTGGTAATGTTTGACTTTTATTTATATAAACTAATTGCATAACATTCTTAATTTTTTAAAAAGATTTGAGCTTGGTACGTGAAAGAATTTAAGCTCAACTATTGCTTTAAATACAAGGTGATGATTTCTAAATCAAATAAGCTTGTATTAATAATGTTGCTAAAATGTAAATAAATAATTTTATTATTAAGTTCTGCCATTATCTATTTTACTAAAATAGTTATTTAATTTTTATGATTCTCGTTTTAATAATAATTTGATTTCAAAAAATATCCTTTTAAAAAATTATAATGAGAAAATTTTTTAAAAATTATGATGTTAATAAAAATCATGACTGATACATTTGTTATTGATAGTTTTATAAATAAAACATTTTTTTTTATTACAGCTTGCTAAAATTATAAACGGGTTTTTTATGGTTTAAGAAAATAACATGCACAATCAGACATTTGTATGGTAATAGGTAATTACCAACAAATCAATTAAATATTTGTATTCAAAGAAACCTTGATTCACCTTGTGAAAATCTATTATTAAGCTGACTAGCTTTTTTCAATATGGATTGTTTCTGGGCATTGTCGAATTTATTACTTTGCAGATCGATTTCTCTACTAAATGGTCTTCTTTCTTTCGGCAAATTATCTATTTTTTCCTAAAAAAAATAAAAAAAATAAAATAAAATTCAATTTTACTAAATTATTAAGTTATTAAGTTTGTTCTGAATTGTACTTGAATTGTAATGGGTTTATAGGTATTTGATTTGTATACATTGATAATACTAAAAATGTCTTTATTTGTTTAATACAAATGCTTACACAAGAAATACAAGTATTTCTGGGTAAGTAACCTTTAATTTACCCGCCACTTATTTAATATTATTACCTAATTTTACTTAATTAGTAATAAATTAATAATAATACTTATATTTTCATATTGAGTATCATAATAAATCTTAGCAGAAATTAAGAAGTAACAGCTTATTAAAACCATATTCATGGCCGTATTTGATGGAGGGATATTAAGGACACTTATCCTGGGCAGTAGATGTTTGGGAGCATCCAGGTACTGGAATACTATATGAAAAATTTAAAACTTGTTGACCCTTGGCTTAGGAAATGCATGGAAAAAATATATAGACTTCAAAAAATAAAGATTGATTTGTATATTTATATGATTTGGGTTGCAAATTAATATATCAAGATTTCACATGACAACATAATGGCAATCCAGCAAACACAAAATATTTTAGTATATAGGTATAAACGTTTGTGTGGTTATGTGATTTATTTTTGAATGAAATGAATAAACATTTAACAGCCAATTCACTCGTTCAGTGTCCAGTGATCGAACTGTTGGGTGCATGCATGTGTTTCGTTTCGTGAAGTTGTGTATGCGTAGTTACATTTTGTTTTTTAGATTCTGAGTTAAGCGAAGAATGTATTGGTTTTACAAAAATGTTTATTATTTTTATTTTTATGTGCACACTGTTTTTATCAGTAAGTTTACTTTGATGTATATGATGTAGAACCTTTTCTGAAAGAAAATTTTCTCAGTTTTCTCATCAAATGTAAAAAACTGGAAAATGTACAAAATATGTTAGTTAAATATTATGATTTTTTTTTCCGGTGGGGACAACTTTTTTACCAGTAATTTTACTTAGATTTACAATGATAGCACTTTTTCTAAAATGAAATCCGAATGAAGAGGTACACTTTAGGGAGGTCATTTTTCAATTTTTTCAAGTTTTTCCAGTAAATATGAAAAAACATAGGAAAATCGGAACAATATTAAACAAATATTATAAAAGAAAATATATAATGCCTATTTAATTATTTTACCATAAAATGGTATATATATATATTGTTGACAAAGCATCACTATCAACTGAACTCCGCTCAGAATCCTTTTTTTGTAAGCAATTATTTATCCTAGCTAGCCAACTTCTCACCAATAACAGTGGTTGCATCTATTGTGCGATGTCCGTTATTTTGGTTTTGAAATTATGAATGTAACAATGTGAAAATTTAATTTCAAAATTTTAATACATAAAGTAACTCAATTGCTAATCGTCAGGAGAAACTTTTGGTTCATGGTAACAGTATGTTGTTAATTTTGTTTTTATTCGCTTGTTGAATTAAGGATATTGTATTGAAGTGATTGTATTTCAATAGTTTTAAAGTTTTAAGTATTTATGTAATATATAATAATATTCTATACTCATTACCCCTTTGGGGTGTTAAATAAATTAAATAAATAAAACCTTCACTATGAGATTAATATACCTAGTTTTACTCTTAAAATATTGCTATATTTAAATTAATTTTGAAATTTGTGATACATGAATGCAGTATTACAAACTTAAAATAAACACATTGTAGGTAGAAAGTTATAACGTCCAAGTTTGCAAATGTTTTTTTTTTTCTTAACTATTTTGATATTGGGTATTTCTAATTTTTTTACTGCTAAGGACCTCAAAAAAAGAATTGCCCCGGGCATCTAAAAGTTTAAATCCGGCCCTGAGAATATTAGTTTATATTTATTAAAGGCACATTAAAGCATAGATTATTTGCTATGCATTTATCATTTACTATTCAAACATTAGTATTTTACTATATTTACTTTTTTTTCTTTTTTTAATTTTTCTTGGTGCATTTCTAATAACGAATATGGCTTTCGTTTTTCTGAAGTCTCTGCCAGTATTTCCATTTGACTGTCACGTTTGTGAATAGCGACCTGCTTCAATGTATCTATATCTGACACTTCAAGTGCTTGTGGTTCCTGAGCTTTGCGTTGCTTGTCGGTCGGTGTATCTGTCCATTCTGAGCGTTTATCCATGTCCGGACCTTCTCGTTTCCTAAACTGCCTTGCACCTAAACCTAGATTCGCAGCTTTTTCAGGAGGCAATTCCAACATCCATTTTTCTCGAGTTGTCTGTTGTTTGTTCTCATTGTATACCTACAGAGAATGAAAAGCGTACCTAGTTTAATTCAAATAGGTAGTCATTGTTCATTCAACCACAAATATTATCTAAAGAAAATAAAATGTATGGAAATACAAACTTCTCCAGCAAATTTTCTTTTCATGTATTCGGCCCTCAATTCTAATTGTTTTTGAACAAACTGTTGTTCTTTGTCCGAAGTAATTAGCTCTGCTGGCAAGGGACCAAAACCCAATATGCCATCATCTACAGTCTCGGTTTTTTCATCTATTTTGAAATTAGCTGGTAACGATGGGCCGGGCATTCGTTTCTGTTGTACTAAGTGAGGCGGTAAACTGGGTCCATATGAGTCGTTTTTTTCATTACTTTGGTTTGCACTGGACGCATTTGGTTTTTCGTCGTACTGTTTTGTCGGCAGAGAAGGACCAATGGATTTGGTGTCATTGAGGTTTGCCGGCAAACACGGCCCGATGGATTTAGGATCATTTGATTCTTTGGTAGGTATCACTGGTTTACGCGTTACACTGCTCTTCAGTGGAACGACCGGAACATAATATCCCTCGTCTTTGGACTTGTGTTTTGAATGTTTATGTTTCTTGTGCTTTTTATGTTCTTTCCCCATCTAGCCTGACAGTATTCTGTGAATCCGAGATACAAGTCGCTACGAAATACAATATTCAAAAACTAAACACTAACACTTGCGTAGATAACAGTTTAACAGTTGATATTTGATAAGGTTATTAGTAAACATAACAAACTAAAATAAACTTTCATCTTTTAGTTCATGAAAGCATTAAACCATCTAAGATAAAAATCATTCCGAATTTCTTGATTGATTATAGAATATAATCAATGATGAAAGTAAATATTTAGTAGAAATATTTTTTTAATTAAATTTTGTTTGTAACCAGCACAGAACGTTTACAAATTCCACTCATAGAATAATAATATATTCAACTATAAATTATAATCAACAAACAAATTATCGACTGAAGTTTATTAAATTTTAGCATAAGTGATCATAATTCTCAAAAATTCGCTTTTTGCATAGATAATAATATAGAATATAATATAAGAGGATACTGTATAAGTGGAATTTATATCTTATTAGTATAAGGTTTATAATTAATACTTATAAGCAATTTCTAATTATATATAGAAATATTATATTTATCATTACATAATTTATTATTGTTACAAAAAAATTGCAAAAAAATAAAATTTAAGATTTAATTAAAATAAAAAAAAAATTTATTTATCCATATATAGCTCGTAAATTGCTCAAATTTTCTGAAAGTTTTACCAAGTCTATAAAAAGTAAATATAAGTATTTTGTTAATATTATAAGTCTCTATTATTTATGCTTAAAATGAGAATAGGGGGATATAGAGGTTAAACCGTGTTAGTTTGAATTTAATTATTGTAAGGGACACTAATTTTTTCCATGCATTATAGTTCCTCTTCTTTTATTTTCAAAATTCCAGCACTGCGTCCAAGAACAATACTAATATAATATAATGTTTTATTTTTCTGTTTAATATTTCAGACATCAGAAATTAGAATAACTAATACACAGTTTGCATGATAATAATTTATTTACACTTTGAAATAATACAGTTGACTTAAATTAATATAGTTTTACTTCAACAAAAAAATAATTTGACTTTAAGGTTAAAACAAATAATAATTTTAACAAAAATAATAAATAATAATAATTTTACAAACAAAAATAATAAATAATAGATTAATCTATACATTTGTAAATTATATAATATGTGTATGATGAAATATTTTATTTTTTAAATTATTAGATTTTAATAATACGTTCATTCATCTTTTGTCAAATGGTCAGGGCCATCTATTACAGACTCATTGCTGGGAATCTCTTCATCACATTCATCACAATTTGACATAATTTCCCATATTTCTATAAAAATTATACAAATATAAATAAAGTACAATTATTATTATTTTTCGATAAATTTAATACACTTTATATTAATAATTATAAACTACAAAAGAAAAAAAAAGAGCTGGTACTGGGGACGAACGTGGTCACTGTTGAAGGTGAGTAGTTGGGAAGGTAGAATACATAAAATTATTTATTATACATATAATCAATGATAAACTATTGCTAAAGAAACATGTTGAATAATCCATTGAAATCAAAACTTTTAAATTTAGAAATATATCATGACTTTGAATAGTTACATTTTAATGTGTTAAAAGTGGTTAGACTAATTTGATCACTATTAATGAAAAAGAGAAAAATACATTCTCTGGTGGTTTGCTCTACAAACCATTATGAAATGAACTAAAGAAAATGGTAGTTAACCTAGCTAATCACTATGTTGCAAAATATAAATTCAGAATAAACTGACATTTGGTGAAAAGTATTTTATTAGTTTATATTTCCTAATTAACATGCTCGAAGTTCCAAACATGACGATAATCCATATTATTATTTTTTAAAAACTAAAGAAAAAATAAAATTTCAAAATTAGTTTAAAGTATGTATAATTAACCCAAACCAACACATGACTAAATTAGAATGAAAATCCACCATGTACTAATAATTGAAAAGTTTGAAAAATATATACATGAACTATTGTTTAATATTGTTTATTAGTGTATAATAAGAGAGTTGAATTACCTGCCGAGTTTATATCTTCTGTATATGAGCGATTTGTCAAAACTGAACCGATTAACCCATCAAGATCTTCGGATATATCTGACATATTTAAAAACCTTAAACCAAAAAATATAATTTTGGATAAAACACCGTTTTGAATCAATTCCACAATTATAAGAAAATCAAATATTTAATGTCTAGTAACCTTCATTACAAAATGTAACATTTTTTTAGTCAGTATTTTGCTTTATTGGGTAATATAGATTTTATTTACCTATTTGATATACTTGGATTAGTTGTTTCTTGACCTAGTGTATTTCCATTGTTCTGTAAAAATAATTATACCAATCATTCACAAAGGTTAAGTGGAATTATTATTTGATAGAATATTTGTTATATTTACTTGTAATATAGGATTATGCAATCCATGGTCAGTTGTAGTATGGCGACTTAAATCTGTTCTACTTTCAGACCTTGTTGGGTTTGTTGGAAAAGATATATTAGCCACTTCAGAAGAAAAATCTGCAAAAGTAGATACACAATAATAACTATCACTATGAATAAAATATTATACAGATTTATATAATTTTTAAAGATTTCATTCAGACTGTTTGATATAATAACAGTTTATTTTTAGTAATATGCAATGGTGGCTTGTGGTAATTTGATATTGTGGTGCAATAAACTTGTTTTGAAGGGGCAATTGTCCTATTTATCACAGGTAGATATGTACTAAGTCTATGCTTTGCCATACTTGTAAAATTGACTTCAACACCACTAATTAAAAATAATGAATATATTACTTATAATTAGGACCCAGATTTATACTATACAAATGCATACTCTACTACAATTCATCTAGAATGATTTTAATTAAAACATTTTGTAATGCTAAGATTCATTCTATGGTTAATTTTTTGTTTGCATATTCAAATGATTATGCATATAAATTGTATATTTTTGGATAATTGAATATTTTACAATATTCAATAAAATGGATATTTAAAACCTGATATTTCCTATGAAAACGTGACATTTGAGGATAAAAATGACTACACAAGACAGTCTTTAGTTGGTACTCTTTGCATAATAATTTAATATAAATATTACTAATACTTTTCAAACATATATAAAAATGTTATTTGATTTTTTAAATAAATTTTTCTTAAACTTTTATTTAGATTTTCTGATATTTTTATTATAAAAGGTATTGTATTAATTTGTAGTACATTTCTTTTTTTTTTTTTTTTTTTATATATAATTTGAGTCTTACTTATAAGTTATAATGTATACTTGTTAGTTATTTGCAAAGAAAATTCTTTAAAATAATTTTCATTTTATCAAGAACGCTACATTAGAACTTCAATAACTATTAATAGATGTTATAACAAACTCATCGTGCTGTTAAAATGAATACAAATCGTAGCTGAAAATGTATAAAAAGAATTACCTCACATATATTGATTATAGTAATGGTCCTGCTGTCCCGTCCTTAATATTACTGTACAATAAAATATCCATTTAAAACTGTCATGAACTACCTCATTATACACGAAACACAATCTACAACACTATGTGATATTACGGGCATTGATTGCTCGGTTAGTATTCAATTTTTAGATTATCTTATCACAATCAGATTATTAGATTGGAAAGATATTTTTCTAAAAATAAAATTATAATTTTCCAATTCAATACTAAATCCTTTTTTGAAAGAAATACCAACTATACTCATTACTATTTACTATAAAAAGTATAATTGACAATTGTAAATTTCATTAAATTTCTAAATTTACATAGGAAATGTGATCACACCATTGCAAATTTAACACAAGCCCCCACTGCTAATATGTATGTTTTGTATAATCTCAGGGGATATTATATATATCAAAAAAGTTTAGTTCTCTTAAAGCTTTTCAGTAATAAATATAAAATATTGTGAAAATTAAAAGATTTTATGCAATTAATGTAAATAATATTATATTTTAAAGTATACAGAACTTAAATAGGCATTTAAAAAAATAAATAAAAAAATACTAGCAACTAGAATTATACCTGATCGAGAATTATGCATTTCTTTTTCCAAATTTTTCAAACGACATCTGATGGAAAATATATTGATATTATACATGTAAATTTAAGAGTTATAATTTAAGCTTTAATTAATAAGTTAGTAACCATCAGTAAAAATATAAAATAGTAATAATAAATTACCTAGCTTCAGTGATTTCATTTTGAATTTTTTCAACCACATGCGCATTTTTAGCAGCTTCGAAATATAAACTACCTATTAGTTAATATAACTTTTATAAATAAGAGAAATTGAAACTCTTAAAATTATTAAATACTTACTTAATTTTTTTGGCGATTTCAAATGAATATTATCAATATTTCTTAAGCAATTTTCCAGTCGAAAATCTAAAAATATTATAAAATATAAAATCAAAAATAAAAATAAAAATGAATAATCATAATAGTTATGAACCTGATTGAATTGGATTTTCATCAGTATCAGGTGAAAGATCATCGATAGTATTCATATGCAATGAACTAGGCTTATTTGTATTCTAAAAATTAAAACAAAAACAATACATTTCTATTGTAAAATATTAATATAACAAATTTATTTACATCAGATTCTTGAAATAGACGACTTAATCTCTCGAACATGGACTGTGCAGTTTCACCTTGGAAACGATTTTGAAATTCATTGTCATATAAAGCTTGAACAGATAGTGGAGGATGTATCAAATTTGAAGCAGTTTCACCAGATGCTCCTTGAACTTCTTGGCTTCTGTTTAGATTCCTAAAATGTCTACACACAAATCCAATGATTGCATGATAGATACATATTATAAGTATTAGGGATCTGAATATAACAAATTTTACTATATAGGTAATTTAAATCTATCTTACCCAGTTGCTTCTTCACACTCAAATTCATCCAATAACGATTGTATTTTAATTTTAAGCTTTTTTTTTGGACTCGGCACTTCTTTAATAATTGGTTTGACTTTGGCAGGAATGTTCTAAATTCAACAAAAATATTATATTTTTTAAATTTATTTACAAAATATATAACTTTTGATATTTAAATGAAAAGTCAGTTGCTTGATATTTCAGGTGGCCATCAAGCAGTTAATCTATCATTCATTTCTAAACTTATATCTGGTCATGTTGACTCTCCTATCATATTAGCTGGTATCAACTTTAAAGTGCCTTCCTGTCAACTACGAAATTCTACTCCCTTTTACTTGCTTCTCTCCACCACTGACTAGTTATTTCATTCTCCTTTCATTGTATAATGTGTTTGGCCAATGAAGACCCTAACTTTCACTACTGAGCACTATTTATATAATATTCAACATTTGTACCTGTATCTATGATATTGTTTTTATTACTCATACTTACTAGGGTTTTGGGTACCCAACACGTTTTCTAATAGAATAAAATAAAATAAAATCAACATTGTATAATAACCTGTTTAAATTCTTCAATTTGCTGTAAACATGCAGATCTTTCAAGTTCTAATTTAGATATGTACCATTGCAATTCTCTACACTTTTGATAATAAGTGGGTGGGCGAACACTAAATCTGATAAAAGAAAAAATATGAAATTAAAATTAATGAAACAATTTCACAAAAACAGACTTAATAGACAGACTTCAAAATTAACGAATCCTGTTGTAAAAATCCTTCATGGTTCAATAAATCAAGTCTGAAAAATCGGTTATATCCCCAACATTCGCCAATTTCAAAATCTGATGTGAATTCTCTAAGTACATCTTTAGCTGCATCATCATTTATATTTGTTTGATTTATCATTTCAATACGATACTCATATCTAAAAGAGGGGTTAAAGTATTAAATATATATATTTTTTTATAACAGAAAGTTCTTATAATAAAAATATCCGTATTAAATTTTTGAACAACATTGTAATAAAGAAACCTTAACTAACCTAGACATGCCGGGTAGACCAGATGTTAATTCTAAAAACACCGATAAATATCTATCTCTGACAATACCATTTCCGTTGGGATATACTTTAAGCCTCCAACTGACACCATTACAACCGATTGGTTGTGAGTAAATCGGTTCAGACTGTAACATTTTGTCTGAAAATGATTTTATTATCAAAGTGCCACCTTCAAACTTAGGTATCACTTCACTGGTAAAAAAATAAAATAAAAATAAAAATATTTTTTAACTTAGGTAATGATGTAAAATGAAATGCACCTGTGAAAATCAGGATGTACAGACATCAAGACTGGAGTTTGTTTTTTTTGCATTGCAGTAATGGTTTTTTTTAACTTAGGAGCGTTATTGATCAACTGAGACATGGGCATACGAGATACTTCTATGTCACAATCATGCAAAAATTCTTCAATTTGTTCAGATTCGTTAATTAGCAAATTTTTTTGACTTAATAACGTAGAGAGTTTGTTACTGAGATCTTTTTCTAAGTCTATCATCATACATTCCACAGCAGTGCGTATTTCATGTACTTTTTGTTCTTTAGCTAGTTGAATTTCTGTAATGTTTTTATCCTAAGAACAAACCAAAAAAATATATTAATTTCAAAATGGCTGCAACCAAAGTGTTTTTATTAGAATTTACAGGAAATAATCATAATGCATCCTTAGGGGTAATTTATTTTAAAATTAATAAGATAACAGCATAGAATAAATTGTTTAATAAATATCAAAAAAATATTTAGACAGTATACAGTTAGGTATTAAAAAAGTGTCATACATGAGTGATATTAGAGTACATACAATTTCCTTAATGTCTTTTTTAATTAATTTTTCTTTTGTTTTGAGATTGTCACAATTTTCGCCTAACTCCAAAAGAGTTTCATTGTAAATCTCGTCAACTGGTCGAAATGAATGCCCTTTATGGGCCGAACTATCAAATAGGGCACACCTATGACAAATGATTGAATTGCATGTAATACAGAATACAGTGAGTTGTTCGTCGTGTGTTTCACATCTAAAAAAAAAAAAAAAAAACATAACTATTTGTAAACAACCAAAAAAAAAAGAAGAAGAGTTTATATCGACTACTTACCTTTGTTCTGAGCTCTGTCTTATACTACCTACGTCAACAGTACTGTTCAAACAATCTAGTTGTTCCGATAAATCTTCTACCCATCTACAGTTCACTATTTCATGTAGATGTAATGTGGCTCGACAGTGAGGACACTGAGATCGTTGTTCCGTGAGCCATCGGCGCATACACGAGTAACAACATAATTTTGAACAATGCGGACACAAATGTGCATCTTGTATTTTTTCCATACAGATGAAACATTTGAATGTTTCGAGTAAGGTCTGAAATTTAAAAAAAAATCACTTACAATATAACTGCATAGCCAAATAATGCAATAATATTATTTATAACAATAATAATAAACTTATCACCTATTTGGGTATCTATATAATTAGGTGCCTACCTAATAATTTATTACTATTAATGATTAAAATCCACCAAGTTCCTATTGCTTTGTTTAATAGTTTGAAATGACAATTTTTGTTTTTCTATTAAAGTAAAACAAAATCACATAATATATATAAATTGTTATATCTCCTTTTTTTGAGCGTAGCTAGTGTTGGAAGTAGAGAGTTATATATTATACATATACATACAGACCAGAAAGAAAAAGAATTATAACGTTTTTAAGTTGATTAAATTGAATAGTAAATATAAAATAATAAAGTAAGAAGTACTAATAATTAGAATTAAATATTATAGTTCTTTGAAAAGTCAATATTAACAACAGTTATTTTGTGATCAGATTTATGATTACATTTTAAATGTCTAACGGCATTGAATTAACAATAGTTGGTCCCAAATAGTCAATGAATCTTCGTCCAATATTCGTATTAGTATAATGAATTGAGATATCACAGGTTCTATTGCGTTTAGAATATATATTATTACATGTCGGGAACTTTTACATTATAAACAAAATTGCAGATATTTTGTCGAGTAAATAAACAGGTACAACGCCGAAATCTTTATAATTGATTTTGGTACAGCAAAAGAATAAACCAAAATGATCAGATTCAGAACACAATAGCCAACTAGGTACTAGATTATTATCGGGCAGTACCTAAAATTGTAAACGGCAACTTTATTGGAAACCGGTAAGCACATTAGGCGTTTTAACGGCAAGTCGTGGGAAAACGGCTCCGAAATCCTAACGGAACTGGTTAAAAGTGCCCGTGAACGGAGNTAACGGCAAGTCGTGGGAAAACGGCTCCGAAATCCTTACGGAACTGGTTAAAAGTGCCCGTGAACGGAGCGGGTAACGTTTTTGGGTGCCGTCAGACCGACCAAAAAAAAAAAAAAACAAACAAAAACTTTTATCCCCGACGAATGCAACGGTCGTGCGAAACGAACCACGAGCAATTTTCAAGCATAACAACGACAGTCGAAAAATAATTTTTAATACCTGCAGATATTCTGGATTGGGTACCACGGCCATGTCTAGGCGGACCGGGGGAAAGTCTGATCGAATAAATCCGGGTGCGCCGGAACGCGGTTAGGAACCGAACCCGGACGGTGTTAGAACGTAGCACGCACGCACGCACAGTCCGAACGGAACCGCAACGGCCGGCCGGTCGAATATCGCGGTCTACCGGCCGCGGGGGTTTTCCTCCTGTTCGGCGGTCCCGGAGCCGGAAAATCCGAAAACGGCCGAAACGGCGAACGCCAACGTCGGCAGCCCGGTCCAGGATCGCCGTCGGGTGTGTGTAAACGCGCGCGGGTGAAAATTGTTCGCGCGTGTGCAACGAGGGAATCGACTGTGGCAGTACGGGACCGTAACAACAATAGCGACTGGGTGATAATCGATCGCGTGGCCGTTGTCGTCGTCGCGGCCGCTGCAGCAGCTGTGCGGTCACCTACGGCCGATGGGTCGGCCGCCGTCTCGTACCTGCGGGGTGATAACGGTGCACTGCACCGGCGTGCGTGCGTGCGTGCGTGCGGCCGGTGGTTCCAAAAATCCGGCACGGCCGAGCGCGACAATCGCGGAGAAAAACGTACACACGTATTACAAAGAGGAAATCTTGTGGGAAAAAAGCTCCGATCGGTTTATGTTACCCCCGCTCTTGAACGCGGACGGAGAGCGAGCCCGTAGCCGCAGTGTCGGGAGGGGGGTTAGGAACAAAAGGAGTTATTGCCCTCTCCATAGACCCGTTCGTTGACCCCTCCCCTAGTATTTTTACGCGGAAGACGGCGAGAGAACGCCAAGTGACAGTTTGAATGTGGGTCGGTTACATTATTATCAAACCGCGATTACCCCCTACCCCACCCCGTCCCCCCCCGGAAGAATTGATTTAGCAGTACTGGCCTGATGGCGGGGGTTGTCCAGAAGCCCAAAACACCCCCTCTACCCGCGGGTGCGCCGCCGAAAACTATCGTTTCGTATAAATCATAAAGACATCGACGGAAGTGGCTTTCGGTGTCGGTTTTCTAGTAAGTTTTCTTGCTGGGTACGTTTTTTGCTGGCGGCGTTTTGGGTGGTAATTTTCTAAAATTCTTTGTGGCGACGCCAGGAACCTGTAGATCCGAGGCCCGTAGAAACAGGGCTCATCAACAAAGTGACACGAAATCGGAGGAAAAATAATGCCATCAATTATTACAGATGGCATTATTTTTCCTCCATTATTTTTAATCAATTATTACAGATACGAAACGAAACGAAAAAAAAAAGGTTACTTTGTTTATTTGTGTCTGTACAGATAAACAATGCACAGCGAATGAAAACAAAAATGTACGACTTGAATTTTCCGAGTTATATTGCAGCGGATAATATCGTAGCGTACCGCGATCACGCAACAATTAACAAATGTGTAACCGAGCACCGTTGATTGTGTACCGTGCAATGTTATATAATAATCGGCGGTAAAACCGAAAAAAAAAAATTTAAAAATAGTTGTAAATAACAAAAACAAACCCGTATTTACTATTTAGCCGCGTGAAACTAAAACGAAATGTGCCCGTTTTGTTGGGAAATTTTTGTTCAGAAAAATAGATCTGTGTTCGGTGTAACCGAATATCTGAACCGACTGGAAAAGATGCGAACACGACAATGACTGAGGGGGGGGGAACCCCGGTTCAAATGGTTTAATATCGGAATTTGAAATGTTCACGTACGGGAGAACGTGTACACGTTAATATTAAAATATACGGTATACGGGCAACGGCCTCTGTCGGTTGTTAGTTTATGCGTCTATATTACGCGAGACCGGCGATATTCCGCTAGAGTGCTCTTGAGGTAGGTCCCTACTCGAATACAAAACTGACGAGTAAAAATGTATTATTACGCATTAGTGATTAATATGGGTCGCCGCCGCGGCCCCATCTAAACAGTTGTGACCGTATTCGATTTGTGTTATCATTATATGTTCTCGGTTGCCAATCACCGTTTCCGTGGAGGTTTGATCGCGCGATCCGTGGCGAAAACGCCGGCAAAACGTCTTGCGCCCGGAATGCACGAGGCTAGTTTTTCAAGCTGGGATAGCGGGCTGGTAGCGATTCCCGGCGCCTGTCCCGGCTTGGGAGAGGCTAGCATAGTTAATGCGATGCTAGGGAAAAACGCTACACTGTATGGTATCGTATTGCATTGCGGTTTACTACCCGAGACCTCGTGTATTCCGGGCACGGGCATGGAATTTTTAAAGTTAAACATTTGGTTCGGACGAATTGTAAAAACCAGCGAAAACAAGTGAAAATTAGAACCGCATTCGAAAAAGGAATAACGTAATCGGACTAAAGCAACTGGCTTCGGCGGCTATGCGACGTTGCGTTTGACGGTTTAGAAGCGTTGCCGTTAGAAAAACGTGCGCGGACGGGACCGCGGGTTTCAAGAACGAAAGAACGCCGGTCGGTGTGCATCGTTACTTTTAGAAGAACTTCGCCCCGCGGACGCTACAGCGTCCCGTTCGCCGTCCACGCGGAGATGGAACACCGAGCTGGGACAGTGAATTCAGTAGCGGGTTGGATGGGGGGCGAGGGTGTGTGCGTGCGCAATAGCTCAAAAAAAATAATTGAACGCACATCTGTTAAACCGGCCCGGCTCGACACGTCGGCTCACTAGAGAATTCACCGGCTTGCCGGGTCGAAAACAAAACTGTAGCTCTGTTCGCGCGGTGCACGAAATCACCGGCTTCCCAGCCTGCCAGTGTTGCCGTTGCTATTCCGGCGCGGACGACCGGCCTCGCCGTATTCCGGGCGATCGCGCGCGCCTACGCGGTTCAATTGTCGCGGTGATTTTCCGGCCGCCGCATACGCAAAATAACGCCGGCGTTACTACGGTGCGCGATTGCGATAACAAACCGTGTTACCTGTCGACGGATTCAAACAACAACCCAGTCACACAGTTATTGCAATTATTACGCATTATTACAATTATTTGCAATTATTACGGAACCGCAGTGAAAAATCAAAAGAAATAATAATTTCTAAACACGTTCCGTACCGCGGTCGTAACACCCCGCGCGAGACCGTCGAGTAATATATCCGTGCCAGACGCCCAGCCGCCGTCGCGGACCGCGACGTTTCGCGAGTTTCGCGTGCTGTCGCCGCCGTTTCGATTTTCCATTCCGGATGGCCCCCGGGCGGTTCGCCCGGCCGTCGGTCAATTGGACGGCGATTGCCGAACACATGCGGCCGGCCGAGAAACCCGCTTACCTGGCGTTCAAAGCCAAGTCCGACGGGTACCTACGGAAAATGTCGGCGTTGCCGGCGGCCCCGCCGCAAATCGATTGGGCCGCGTACCGGCGCGAAATCGCCGCGCCCGGTCTGGTGGACGCCCTAGAGAAATTGTACGGCGCCGTTAAAATCCCGTATCCGGAAGACGTGTACACCGCGACAATCGACAAACTCGAAACGGAGACCGACAGGGACATCGGGGAGTTCAAAGCGGAAGCGGACGCGGTCATAAAAAAACACGAAACGAGAATCCGAGAAATTGAGAATATGTTGCCGTTCGGCCAAATGACGTTCGAAGACGCCGCTTACGTCGAGCCCGAGTTGGTGTTGGACATGGAGAACAAACCGTCGTTCTGGCCGCACGAAGACATCGATAGGTTATAGACGCGCACGCCCGCGGTAACGCGGCGGACATTGCCCAGCTGTTAGTGATTCGTTTTAAACCTACACGCGTTTGCCGTTTACATTATGGTGGGTTACCTACCCATTGATAATTTTCGAAAAATCAATAAACCGAAAACAGTTTTTTGCGTATCTTCGGCATTTACAACGCGACGTCTAAATGCATTTCCGTTTGTTCGAACGCGAGTGCCCGCCGCCGTGAACACGCGTACACTCACCCGCCGGTACTTGCATCTAAAATTTCAACCACTTTTCGAAGCGCAAATACCGATTTTCGCGTAGGAATGATGCACGGGGGCGCCCGTGCCGGAGCCACATGATCGTAACGTCACAATCGTATCGCACGATCGCATTGTGCCGTGCTGTTATCACGTTACGACCGTACAATCGTGTACCCGATCGACGGCGGTTCGGCCTTCGCGACGAAAACGGCGCGCGGAAATCAGTTCTCCGCCGCCGACAACAGAGTGCGCGTCGAATATCGAAACGGAAATTAATTAATAGTAAAATATTCAGGTAGGTACGAGGTATGTGTACAACGATATTATTTAGCTATGCGTTTATCGTAACAAATCAAGTTTTTAGTCGATTCAGTGATTTAATCTCGAAACGTCTTTAGTATTGAATGTCAAGCAAATCGCAAGGAAAAACTTGATTTTCCAGTAGGAAAAAAAAAAAAAATATTCGAATGGTTATACTTAGAGAGATAATAATATTGTAATATATTATCTAGTTACACACAATCAAGAGGACGTGGAACTCGCATGCGCTGCCGTTTCCGTCTTACGAACGTAGTAAATTTGTAAAAATCATAGTAAATTTGCGTGGAACGGGGACAACTTTGCGGTGTCAGTTTTAATATTAGAGTGAATTGACCGATTTTATTGTCAAACTTAAAAGTAAGAACATCATCTGCATTTGTACGTAGGTTTTTTTTTTCTCGACATTTACATTTCAAGCGGCATAATGTAAACATTTTTAGTTGAAAATTTAAAAAAAAAAAATATAGGAAAAATGTTGCTAATATTGCACGCATAAATAACATATCTTTTCTTTAAGTTTGAAAAAAGTTTCAGTTCACTCTAATATTAAAACCAAACAGCACAATGTTGTCCCTATTGAACGAAAATTTGCTACGTCGTACGTTTACAAGACAGAGACGACGCAATAAGGTATCTCGGCCTATATTTAAGTATATTATTTTAGATTCCGTGCGCAGCGCGGAATGCACATCGGTTTTACTATGACGTGCGATTTGTTTTTTTCCTTGTAGTTTTATACCAGTTGAAAAAACATATAGGAAAACCGGAAAAGTTTATGGCAACGGCGATTTCATTATTTTCGCATTTATTTCTTTCGTTTTGTAATTACAGGTCAAAAACACTCGTATAGAGACCTGCAATTTTCACTATAGCCCTTTCAAGACATCGTGATGTTTTCAAAACATTTTGGCCATTTTAAAACTATTCATGAGCATTTGATATTTTCGAATATTTTTTAAGTTTTTGTTTGGTTTACGCGAAGAAAATTCTGTCGGCCGATCGGAAATGTTTAGAAATTTACCGCGGAGTTCATTATTACAGTTGTATTTGTCGGACGAAAAAAAATTTGAGCTTGATACGGTAGTTTTTTTTTTTTTTTTTCTAAACCCATACACGGCTTTTCAAAACAAGTTTAACCGAACTTCGCGCACGACCGTTATTTCGTTGGAAATACGCGATTTACCGTTATTCGCGACGCGCGTACAGATAGAAATTTGAAAAAAACCGCGCGCATCCGCAAACCATCTCGACTTCACGCCAACAACGCGCGCCGTTGCACGCTCGCAATATCGGCGGTGTCGGCTCATATAGGAAATACTCCCACTGGAGGGGATAGGAGTAACCGGAGAAGGTTAAAAGGTTAAGGGAAATGTTTGAAAATGCTCGTGGAGGTTTTTTAAGGGCGGTGAGAGTTATCCAGGAATTATCCTAGACATAAAATTATGCTCGATCACTTTACGAATAGCTTATTCCTCGTTGCACTTTACGCGCAGAATCTAAAAACATTCATATAGGTACGACGTACTGTTTGTTTCTGAATAACATTAGAACAGGTATCCACAGAGTGTGTAATGATATTGAACGACTGATGGGTAATACTTATCGGTAATAACACGTCGGCTATTAGAATAATATTGGAAGAGCGCGAAAACCGACGTCGCTATTATCTGAACGTTGATTGTAAAAGACGGAAGCGTCCGCGAGACCTTAGCAATTTATTTATAGTAGACCTTTTTTTTTTTTTTTTAATTAATTACCTATATACTTTTATATTTTAATATCATAATCGTGCGTTAAACATTGCTATTGGCTATTATCACATTGTACCTATTTACAGATTACAATAGTCGGCGTCTGTAGAAAATATTACCTATAAACAAATATTATCTATTTTAATGTACGTTTATATTATAATATAATTTATAAGTAAGTTATAGTAAGTACAGGCATTCCTTTATCCCGGTATAAAGGTGAAAAAGTCGCAGTCATTATGTTAACATTTCAAATGACCTGAAACGTCCTAATGACATTGGCCCCTTGTTAATTAATAGAGAATATAGATTAATAATATATTATAGTAAATACCGATACTACGTGTTATAAGCAACGCACGCATTGCTGTAATATAATAATAATAATATTATAGGTACTATACAGATCGAATACATTAATATATCATTTCATTTGCATAAATTTTGTGCAAAGGTAATTGTGAGTTAGTGAAAATTATCGATTAAGTCGAAAATATCCTTTGGTTGTAAATAAAGTTAACAACAAATAAATACAAAGGATTTCATAAGTTATAAAAGTTGGAAAATGTCAAATCAACCATGAAGTTATAGTAAAAGTTTAAAATATAGGTTAGTAATAGTTATATAGATAATAATATAGTTCTATCCTCCATACGAGTACCTAGCCCATCAAATTTAACGGAGAAAATATTTATTAATATTATTATTATTATGTACCAATTTGTGAAAACAAATAACGAAAAATTGTTTAAATGGTTATAATAATAAAAAATGAAAAATATAGATAGTTAAATTACATTTTGAAAGTGTAAACAAGTGTTACATCAAAAAAAAAAAAAAAAAAAAAATAGAAAATCGTATAATGCAGCATTTCGGGGATTTTTGTCCTTTTTGTCATCACCTACTATTTTTTAGAATGATAAAATAATCCGAAATAACTAATAAAACAAACGATTTCGTTGGAAGGAGGGGGGGGGGGGTAGCAAGAGTTTCCATGCATCTCTGCAGGATATGGAATTTTATAATGGAAAAAATATTTTGCTAGTTACCTAAAGTTAAAATTTATCAAATTGAAAAACAAAAAATCTAAATTATTCCTACCGAGAAATTAAACGATTAATTCAGGACATTGCAGCGATTTAAAGTTTGACTTTCTATCATCATGAATCATAATTATAGTGTGTTGCTAGTATGCCCAAGTTTTATCCTTGAGATTCGGATCGTGTGTGTGTGTGAGAGAATGAAAAAAAAAAATGATATGGACATACTTCACACGATAGGTGGGCCACTGTTGTAGGTGAGAAGTTGGAAATGTAGATATTTTGCTCTGATTTTCGATTATATCAGTTTTTCTGAAAGGAAATCTGTTTGGGGTGATACATTAGGGAGGCCATTTTTTGATTTCCCCAGTTTTTTTCATAATAAATGGGAAAATCGGGAAAAAACCTAGGACAAACTGGCAAATTGGTACAATATTAAACAAATTTTAGTGAAGAAAATATATAAATAGGTATATAATAATAATTATTTATTTATTTATTTATAGTCATAATTGGGGGAATGAACTGTCGAATTTATTGAACGGTAAATCTCGCGTGTTTTCGGTATAACCAATATATTGATACGTCGAACACGCGATATTCGAAATAATACGTTTTGATTTTATTATTATATTTTTTTTTAATGATATAAAGAAAAACGGAGAAACATGTTTTTGGAATTAATAATATGTAAGAATATTATTTAAATTTATTAACAATATTAATCGCTATTGCTTTGAGGTATCGTTTATAAAAAATCTATTTGAATAATATAATGTAAACAAGTTACTCGTAGATCGAGTTACTAGTAGATCGAGAAGATTGGACGACGGAAATATTATACAATAATTAATTATAATAAAAAATGATTATCGATCCGAATAAATTTGATGGGATTTAAGCAAAATCGGTCAATAAGTAAATAAAGATATTCGAATTTATATTATTGGTTAAATTCAACAAATGAAAAAAGCATTATGTTAAAAGTTAAATGTTTAAATGCAAAAAAAAGTCTAAATGGTAAAAAGTTAAAACGCTTATTTTGCTCAAAAAATATTAATATGAAAAACGTATTCAATATTTTATAGTAATTTATTCATAATATTTTAATAGTACATTGAAATTAAGGAAAACTATAGAGTTATGAAAGGAAGACATATATTCCGGAAAGTTTCCAAATGAGAACTAATGAAAACCTGTGGTAACTTTCTATGTACAATAGGCTGTTATATATATGCCAGTTACGTCTCAGATCCGTCGTACCTCTATATGAACTACATCTACTACGGTTCACGATGAGGTCTTTTTTTATACATTTATCCTATTTTAATTATGTTCTTTCTTTTTCATGCAAACAAATTAGTTTATTTTTAGCTCGGTTTGAACTATTTTAGTGAATAATTCATGTCTCCTCAATATTGTCTTTAAGAAAAGCGTGTCCCGCAGTAATTTAAAGTACCACACAATGCTATCCTATATTTTAATCTCGTAACAGTTTATATCGAAACGACGTCGACGGCGTAATAAAAATGTAAATATCCAATATTTTATTAATTATATCAATATACATTATTGAGATGTATGATACTGTATCGGCCATCACGTATCACCTATCCAAGATTTTTCAAGGGGAGGCTAGACTAAAATAA